TCCACCTTTTACCGCCATGGTCCGTACCTTCCCCGAATGAACGAGCTTCAAAGCTCAAACAGTGGAGGGCAAGAGATGGACAGAAACACTTGGTGACCGGGGGACCTGCCTGCCCTGAGCGGAGAGCAAAGGAAAAAAAAAAGGAAGTAGCAAGTGGTAAACCACCAAGGTCCCGTCCCGTTCTTGCCTTCCATTTCCATGATACCCCGGCCAGCTTATGAGGGGTCGTCTTTTGCTGCTGTTGCTTCTCATAGGGCCATCGCTGCCCAATGCTCCTTCATTGCGACTCATGAAGCTCCATGCCTTCAATTTCATGGATGCTCGCCTGGCTCTCTTTCTCCTGCTTCACGAAGTACACTCTTCCCATTCTGTCAACAAGCATCTTCTACTCCGTCCTCCGTATGAATACCTTACTCAGACATCGTCGCAGGGGCATTTACAGCGAGCCAGTAGCAGTCTCATTTGCACTTCAAAGACCCTGACTGGATCGGGGCTCCAACTTTCTTACCTTCCCGCTGCCTTAGTCCCTCGGCACCTTACACTTTCATTCGACCGCTCGGCCGCCTGCCTCCATGTCTCCAGCCGCTCCCACCAAGCTATCCGTACACTCCATCCCAACCAAGCTACCTTTGGACGATGGACGAATACAATGTGAACGACCTGCCAGAAACACATCCACTCAACGGCCTCATCATCTGACACTCCCGCTACGGATACCCATCCTGATTCCTGACCGACACTTCGTTATAACCTCGATTCGCCATTCCTCCATGGATACGAGTCCAAGAGCCTGCGATGCGCGAATATACTACCAAGAGGCGCCTTCCGTGCCACATTGACCTCCTATCGCACCTTGTTCCCACCACGGCCTATTAGCTCAGAGCTGTATAGATGGTATTCTCTCTCACCGATTCAATTTGCGCCTAACTCGGCACGCCGCACGCCAACCGCGAAACTTGCCTTTCCCCTCTTGCTCTCGCCCTTCTCCAAATCTAGTCCCCCAACTCGCAAACGCCTCGCGGATACATCGCCCCGACCCTACCACGCCGTACAAGTAACAAGCCTGCTTGGTTGTCTCTGGTCCGTCAAAGCTGTCAAGCGATCGACTGATGCTACGAGAAATGGCCCGCCGGCGACCTGACCCATCCCTGTCTGGCGTTGTCAGGGGAGGGGGGCAACCCCGACGTCCCACCCTTCTCTGAGCCGTTCAAAGTACGGATACAAGGCCATTGACCGTCTAGGGAGGGGGTGTGGTTTGATAGACGTAGAACCTGTTGCGGATATCCTGTCGTTCACTCGCGGACTGCTATCGCCTTTCGAGCAACCCTCAGGCCCTTGTCAGCAAGTATCAAAATAGCGTGCCATTTTGTCAGCCTCGGTCTGTTCAAATCAAGTCAACCGGGCGTTGCCAGCATAAACGTCTGCGGCAGTTTATGGCGATCAATGCATTCTACCACAGGGGCCTCTTCAGTCTGGTCTGATTACTTCAAACCACCTCCCGCCAAAATCCATTTGCGAACACTCAAATCCCACCAGAATTCCGACGTCAAACAGGCCAAGGTCTGCTGAACGCTTTGATCTCTAATTTCAAGTTTGATATGCGACGTCAATGGCAGTCTGTCAAGCCTTGCTGCTGCCCGATGTTGAACTAAGAACTACCCGAACCACTCTGACGCACCCGCCACGACATCGCCAAAGCCGTTCCCGACAGCTTTCCGTAGAAGATACAAGGACTCCTCGCGACGCAATCCAACATTCATGGAATTGGCATCCACCACCGTCACACTCATCGTGGAGCGTCGCTCAACAGCCAACGCCCCTCGTTGGACGGCCAGGCAATCGCGATGGGCGCCTCCCCTTCTTCCAACGCTGAACGCAATGCTCTCTCTATTAATCATAGCTTGTTGTACTCGGTTAGATCGCCGGTCCATGCCGTCCATCTCGTGGCCCATCTCCCATTCAATTGAGCTGCCGCGGTCATGCGGTTGGAGATTTGAGTCGATACAGTTTGGATAGATCTGGCTAGCTCATCATAGGCCGGACCTTTACATTCATTTTACAACCAATGGGTCAAGAACAGGGGATACTCGCCCATATCCGGTCCACTCTTGTGAGGCATTGAACTCCATTGATCTCTGGGTAGCTCCAGCTCCATGACCACCTTTGCAGTCGTCACAAGACTTGATATGGCAGTCAGAAGACAAGCACAAGCGCCATTTCGGTCTAAGGAACCAGAGTTGAAGAAGGATTGCTGACCAACAGCAGCGCTCAAATCGTTTTCGGTATTCCCATTGGACATAAATTCCGGATTCGTCACCAGCTTCGGGCTGGTCATTGGATGGAAAAGATTTCTTTCGCATGAGGCGGTCCTAGCGAGGCCACTGAGAGACCCGGACTGATTCTCAGTTGGTCAGATGGTCACGTACGGATACAAAGACTTGCTAAACCGTGGGTCCATCTACGAAAGGCTTCGTTAAACGGATGGTCTGGCCAAGCCTCGACGCAATGGCGCGCAAATGTGAATACCTACCTCAACGGAGAGGAGAGTATGGCCGGAAGGTACAACTATGATTGGGGCATGACCCAGGTTGCGATCCAGGGTCGACCAGCATCCACCCGCGGTGGCCCGCAACGTGCGCCGTTCTCAATTTGAAGCGGGCCCTGCCGACGGTATCCTAGGCCAGGCTGAATTGATACCACAGCATCCCCGACTCAACCCTCACCCGAAGCAGTATCTGATCGCTCTAACCGTAGCTTCGCATCAGTCATGAGAATGGGCTCTCATTTCACGACAACGTTGGGCAATCAACATGCATAATGATGATGGGCGGGCCGGGGAATAGACTAAACAGGAAAGAAGGCTGATTCGGAGCCCCATCTACTCCATCTTTCCCTTGGCATCTTCCCGCCGCTAGGTAGTGTAAGGGTTTTCCATGAGTTCATGACTGACGCGTCTTAGCCAGGCTGACGATATCACTAGGTATTGAAGCCATGCTAGTACGACGACGAGAGCAGTCTGCCCATCAACTCTATTTCAGAAGCTTTCGGATACGAGGGAAAATCTCAGGCTCTGGTACTCGCCTCGTCAGTGGCTGTCAGCCGTGGCTAATCACGTTTAGCTGCTCTACCTGGTCGAAGTAGCAGGAATTCACAACCAAGCCATTGTTTCAAGCCATGAGAAGCTCGGGCTTTGGGAATTTAGCCAGACACGAGGACTTTCATTTGACACAGCGGATGACCGCATCCACGTTCTCATGTCTCGAGGAACATGATGGGCAAGATGCCAATTAGTCATTGCCCTCCTCGACGCCTGCTTCAGCGCCTGGTCCATTGGTAGACTACCTCCGATCAAGGCTGCATTTGGTCTTTCTGAAAGTACCACCTACGCCTGCACGCACGAGACGTACTCTACCAATTCTGCCCTTTGGAGCAGCAATCTAGGAGGAGTCTAGGAGATGAGAGCTGCGTCAGTGCTCGGGTGGAGCGCAGCTTGCTTGTTCCCGAGCCCTCCCCCAAAACCCGCTGGAACTGACTGGGCTGGTCGACTCATGTCGCCTTGGAGCGAGCAGGGGACCTGGGCAGCACGAGCAACATTGCAGCGCAGCATCCGCCGCCGCCGCCGTCTGTGTTGCCCCTGCGCCTATTTACCCTTCCCTGCAGCCGTTCTCCCGTGGTCTGTGTCCTATCGCCCGCCGTTCGCCTCATCTGTATCTGATGCAAGGTACGGATACACTCATCTGCTCACAAGCAATCTCGAGTCGAACTCGAGACGAAAGGGCCAAGATCGCTGGATGGATGTCGACTGCTACCATACTCCGCAATCGACCTTTCCTTGCTTCGCATATCGCGGACTCGGACCCGGGACCCCTCGTCCAAGCTCCTCCCATCATCCTCCGAGGATAAGATGAGATGAGATCACGGCTCGCTGCGAAGGCCGCGGCCGACCCACCACCAACTAGCACGTCCCGCCCAGCAGTAGCAAACAAAAATCGGGACTTGCGAGAGGAAGGGGAGATAAAAGAGACCGCGAGACATGGGCGGTAAAGCAAGCCCTGTGAAAGGCAGGCGGAAGAGGAGGATTCGCATCTGACTGGTGGTGAAGCCCTCCATCCCCCCTCTTTTATTTTCGTTCTACTGAGGAAAACCAGGTCCGTGGCTGCTGTCATTCCGCCGGGCACGTTTCTCGTCGGGGAATTGCAGTGAAGTGCATCACGCCAGTAGGTAGTGCCGAGTCCGTCTCGAGACAAGCGTCAGCAGCAACGGGATGAGAGGACAGAAGAAAAGGCGGAGTTATGAAGAGCAGCATTGCAGAGAGCAGAGAAAGGGTGTCGTCTTAGCTCTGCTTTAAGCGCCGACGTCGCCCTCGATCCAGGGAGTCCCCCGTCTGGCTCACCCACACACCCGCCCGCCATCCCCCACCCCTCCTCTGCCTGTCACCCCATGCCCTGTAGGAGGAGTGAGGCAGAAGACGAAGTGTGTGTGTCTGCGGATATGTGTGTGTGTGTGTGTGTGTGTGTGTATGTTGGTAGAGGTGTGTGCGCGCGGAAGCTGCATGGTCTCGTCCACGCTACTCATTGCTCTAGTTCCTTTCTCTGTCTCTCTTCCACCACCTCTTCCTTTCCCATTCGCACGCGGAGCAAAGTAGTGCAAGCTGGCCAAGGGGATACACGCCCGGTACGGACACATGCGTTGAGCCTTCTTGCAGAAAGAAGAATATGCAACCCACGCTTCTCTTGGGAGGCATCTGCGGCCGCAGGACAAGAGGCCCTCGGCTATGCAGGTTCGCCCACGATTTGGGCTCCGTGACTTATTCTCCCATTGAGTTGCTGCTGCTGGGTGAACTTCAGATGGTGGCGCGTGTGGGGTAGGGACGGGGCGAGGATGGGGGCAGCTTTCCAACGACAGTCTATCTATATCCGTACTCCATCCAGAATCTCGCTTTTCGCCCCCTTCGACGACGACATTTTGAAGGGCAGCCACGCGAAAGCGGACGGCGCAAGATGATGGCGGTGCCGTGCACGCACGCACGAGCGCGAGGCTGGCACGGCTGGCTAACGAGAAAGAAGCCACGCTCCTCCGTATCCACACGGGTTGGAGACTGGCAAGAGAGCCCTTCTCTTTTTTTTGTCCCCTTAGGCGGCACGGCGGGCTTGTCCTGTCAGGCACGCGCCGCCCGGCAGCCAGCCTTTAGTGCCCGACGGCTTCGCGGCGAGGATGGGAACCACGGATCACTCGAACTGTTATGGACGGGATGGGCAGTCAAGTGTCTAGGTAGTGTGGGCTTTTGGCTTCACTACCGTACCGTGGGAGTCTGGACCCTAACGCGCGAACTGGACCGGTCCATCCGTTCCCAATCCAACCCAAATTCGTTACAATGATCGCATACAATGGTACAATGTTTGTTTCCTAGTTGAAGGATACCCCAGGTGGAGATGGGAAAAACGATTTGAACGCAACAAAGATGAAGATGAACAATGTTTTTCTCTCTCTCTCTCTCTCTCTCTCTCTCTCTCTCTCTCTGCTGCCAGAAGCCGTTTTGATTGAGAACAAATCACTTTTTTTTTTGTTGCAAGCCTGAACTCCCACCACCCCTTTTCCCTCCCTTCCTTTTCATCTCTGTATCTTCGTCTCTCCTCTGTAATGCAAAAAGCAGCATGGTGATACCGTATAAACGCTTGCCTGGACTGCAGAAACCAACGTCGCCCTTGATCCCCGTCAAACACACATCCTCCCATCCATCCTTCCGTCCCTCCCCAGCTCCCGTCTCCCATCGAAATCTCGGCGGCAAGAAAACAAGATAGAGAGCAGGGAAGATGCCTCGACGCCGCCCATCAAAGGGGGGATCTTTAACCTCCCCCTCCCCCCCCTCCCCCACCCGCCACGAAATGTCTGCTTGCGGCCAACACACACATTCCCACATCCCATGCTCGGTAAGGAAAAGTAGGTAGCGTACCAAGACTGCAAAAACCCCACACACTCTTTTACTCGCCCAGCTCAGCCTTGTTCCTTTGGGAAAAGGAGAGAGAGTCGCAACCAAACAGTGCCATTGTGTTTCCCGGCCTTGGCTTAGAGCTTACGCGCGTAAGATGCAGTAGGGGTCGGCCGGTTCCTTTCGTTTCAATGTTCGCTTTTGAAAGGAGGTAGGGTAGCGTGCTTCTCCTTTTTCTTTTCTTTTGAGTTTGCACACGATGCCATGGAATCGGGACTCGAGTAAGATGGTAACTTGGAGGGAAGGGGGCGTGGAGGGGGGAGGATGGCGGAGGAAAGAGGCAAGTGGCTTGAATTTTGTGTTCCCTTCGCCAAAATGGGGGGTTTGCGGACGAGGAGGACCCCGAAGGCGGGCTGAAAGTCTGGGTCTGGGCTGGGCTGGGCTTGTTTCTCCTTGGGCCAGGCAAGGCATTTTGAGGCGGCGTGGGGAGAAGCATGACGACAAACGGCCGCCATGCGCCGCCGAGTTTTAGCTCGTCGCCGCGTTCGTCAGCGCTTGACGATTGTGACTGCGAGTAGTTTGGAGATGTTAGTGCCATTGTTTTGCTTTTCCTTAACCGAACTTCACTTGACTTGAGGCACGCTTCCTTTCCTCGCCGGCTCTTGTAGAGTAGTTCGCGGGGGCAAATGAAGGTTTTGAGATGATGATGATGACGACGGCGACGACGACGACGACGACCAGGGAAACTAAGGATTGGTGGGGGGAATCCTCGACACAAGATGAAAACGTACCGATATCCTCGTCGGCTAGCTCATGAGATAGACCGACGCGCTGAGGCTGATGCTTTACGGACTTGCCGTACACAATGGCGGTCTTGAACTGTTCGAGGATACTCCTGTGAATTTGGTTACACTAGACGGAAACACGAACCGGTTAGCTAAGCGTAGCGAGCAAGAGCAAGCCGCAGCAATATGCGCTTCCGTCCGTCCAACTTTCGCGCGCCCCTTTGTCGCAGGGGAGAGAAAAGAAGGTTCACCCTACGACACGGGTTCGCTCGGGACGAGACGCAATGTCACGCGGAGGACCGGCTACTCACGAAATCTTCGACCGTGCACCTGTTTGAGCGGAGCACGACGGGCTGAGAGTAATCTGGCAGTTTGCCCTTTGGCTTCGTATAAACGCGAACCAGCTTGAGCTTATCCCACCTATACGCCAAGAAAAGAAAATCAAAAACGTTAGCTTCTCTGGTCTCGTGAGTGCAATTTTAGGGGTAGCAGGTTCATCCTTGTCGTGGACGACGATCGTGTCGCTCCGGGAGGCGAGAACCGGCCGAAGGTCCGACGGCTAACGAGGAAATGAAGGCAAGGGGGAAGACAAAGTTAGAAAATCCTTACATTGCCTCCATCAGCTCATCAATGTTCCAGCCCTGCTCCGAACTGATCGGCACGGCGTTCGGGATACGGTAGAGCAAGTCGAGCTCCTCGATACTGATGGCGTCAATCTTGTTGAGGACGTAGATGACGGGGATGTAGTTTCTGCTCCTCGCCTCGAGGACGTCAATAAGGTCGTCAACGGTGGCGTCGCAGCGAATGGCAATGTCGGCCGAGTTGATGCGGTACTCGTTCATAACGGCCTTGATCTCGTCGTGATCAATGTGGGTGAGGGGCACGGTGCTCGTGATGTTGAGGCCGCCCTTTTCCTTCTTCTTGAAGGTGATGTTTGGCGGCGACTTGTTGATGCGGATGCCGAAGCCTTCGAGTTCCGTCTCGATGACACGCTTATCCGTCAGGGGCTTGTTGACGTCCAGGACGATGAAGATGAGATGGCACGTCTTTGCGACGGCGATGACCTGGCGACCACGACCGCGGCCGTCCTTGGCTCCTTCAATGATACCCGGCAAATCAATGATTTGCAGCGGCGCACCTGAGGAACGCAACAGAATGTCAGCGTTTTCGACCTTTCACTTCCTCGTTCCTTTTCTCTTGCCATATCGTCGTCCCGAACCACATAAAATCTGTCAAAACGTACCATTGTAAGTGACCTGACCCGGAACGGACGTCAATGTCGTGAACTCGTACGCCGCGGCCTCGGAGTGCTGGCCCGTCAACTTGCTCATCAAGGTACTCTTTCCCACGGACGGGAAGCCGATGAAGCCGATACTCGCGACACCCGTACGCGCAACGTCGAAGCCGGCACCGCCGCCGCCACCACCACCCGAGGGTGTCAAGAGCTCACGCTTGAGCTTGGCGAGCTTGGCTTTCAGTTGTCCCAAATGAAAGGACGTGGCCTTGTTCTTTTGGGTCTTGGCCATCTATTTGAGGGAAGAGAAACCATTCCGTCAGCTTGCTGATTTGCGCGTCGTATTCTTGTCTAATATATCTGTGTAGAGGGTGGAGGGGGATTTTTTCCTGATGTCGTCGGATCGAAGATTTGGGTTTCTCGGGGGCGGATGCCTGTCTGTCGCCAACGTCACGAACGCATGTTCCCTCGTTCTGGTCATAGACAGAGACAGCCTTCGAGTTTTCTCGACATCGTCGACGACGGAAAAGGGGGCGGGACGAGGGTTGCCCTCGGTTTGAAGGTGAAGGGGAAGGAGGGGTTGGACACGTACTTCGGCCTCGATATCTTTGATCTACATGAACAAAAGTGTTAGTCAAGATGGTGTCCTCGCGAATAGATAAGGGAGAAAGGATGGAAAATCCAATCTAGCCGGCTATGAAGGTCTCGGCGAGAAACATTACCTTGTCAACTGTGGTCGCCATGATTGCGGTGTTTCGTCACTCGAGACGTTCCTGCGCTGTATGGAGGGGTTCGATTTATGGATGGCTAGCTTTTCCGATTGCAACGTCGACGTCCAAGCCGCGGGCAGAAGAGAAAGCGAATAGAGAGTGTGCCGTGGCTCGCAGAGTTTGTGGGGGTATCAAATAAGTAACGTTCGTCGTCGTCCAACTTCTGTCTCGCTGCCCAGGTTTGGGTTGATGGTTCTGGCAGTTGGTGATTCTGGTTGTGCACCTGGTGGTGGATTTTGGGGTGCAAAATGGCGGGGACATTGGCACCTTGTGCGAAAAGGCTAAGGTACTGCACATGAAATTTCAGCGGGGCATGGTGGGAATGCACCGCCTTCATTGGCTGCACAGGTTTTTTGAACGCAGTGATGTCAGAAACCTGAATCGTTCAATCAAAAGTCTTTCATATCTTAGGTAAGAAACGCCAGCACTTGGTTTGGTGATTGATGATGCGCAACAATTCTTGAAGATATTGAAAAAGGCACGAAGAAATGACCAGGACTGACAGCATTGTGAATGTGTTATTTTCGTCGTCTACCTTCCCTAACCCTGTGTCCCATCCCAACTAGTAATGCTTCCCAGGCTCCCAAGCTCTTGATTCTCGGCACTCGTCCAGATCTAATCATGGCCATCCAATCCGTTGTTCATCAACTGACCACACACAAGAGCTGACTCTTGCGCTTCATGAACTATGAAAGTTCCATTTGTCGATATAGTGTCTTATCACCCAACAGGGCCTAAAGAGTAAATACCATGGTGTTGCTGTCCACAAATTGGCGTGAGTAACACGCCTTGAGCATCCTCCAGCCCCATTTCGAAGTCAAGCAACTGCCCCTGTCGTAAGGATCGCAAGGCCAGCTAAAGGGCAGATAGGCAGCTGGGTCTATCTCTGATGATGCACAGCGGTGCCTTGGTACGTTCCATCGGCACTCGGTGCGTAAAGATCCGGGGATTGCTGTGGCAATGTGTACATGTGTATATTAAATATTGGTTCGTTCGATCTACTTGTGATCCAACTCAACTCAGTTGGTGCTTGGCGCCGATACGCCGTTAACGCCATTAGGAACAAGTCTCGGCTCGGGCAACACGGGCGCTGTAGCGGAGGCTGCCGGCTGGGTATCATTGACGGTCTCGACCATTGCCTCTGTGGCATTCGACTGGCTCCGTGGCGACCAATGTCCGCCGTTGGGCATCGTCGGCGTTTTCGTGCCATTCAAAAGGAAGTCAAGCCCTTGTTCTTTGCACACGCGGGCATAATCGGGGTCGCCAGGGAAAACCTGCTGCAATCCCTTTCGAGGGACCCGCTTCTCGGGAAAGGGTGTGCTGCTTGTAGCAGACAAACCAGGCATCTGCTCCTCGACCATGACACCGTTGATATAATATTTGTTCCTCGGCGCGAATCCCAAGAATCGATCAGCATCGGGGTCCTGTTTCCATTTCTGCGGGACTTGCCATCCGTAGAGTTGGCCTTCATTGTCTGGTAGTTCGCGATACTCAACGCTCATCTTGAGGTCCCGAAGATGCGGAACGTCCTGAGCAATCGACATCAAATCCGACACCTGTATTCCGAGTCAGCCCAACCACACATTATCATCACCGGACAAAATTAGGACGCACCTTGACGAAGAACATGTCCATCTTCAAGAACTTCTCACGGGCCTCGCCACGGAGTTTTTCCTTTGAGCGGAAGCTCATCTTGAAGGGATCCTCGCCCTCTCCGTAATAATCTGAAAGGCCAGTCCCAAGTTCGTAGAAGTTCTCCTTAAGCAAGGCATACCAATCCGACTCGAGTCTCCAGATGACCTTTTTAGCGAGGTCAGACACGGAAACATGTTCCCAAGCCGCATCTAATTTTCCGTCAGTAATGATCAACGCGGAAAGATCTTGTGAGCACTTACATTTTGACAAGGAGAGGTCCTTCTCCCCGAGGAGTAGCGCAACATGGGTGTTTAGCACCCACTGTTCTCTACCGTTTGCCGTGCCATTTGCTTGCGGCTGAATAGTGTCGAACCGCACGCCTTGCATATGCTTGAATTTGGCGGCGTATTCCGAAGTCTTGGGGTTCGGGCAAGCGTCGAGCCAGCGCAACAGAGGAGGCAGCTTCGCCACGCGCACGCGTTCTTGCTCCTCGAGGATACGGCGCTGCTCGGCCTCTTTAGCAGCTCGCTTGCGCTCCAACTCCTCGCGTTCAAGTCGCTCCTTGCGCTCACGCTCTTGCCGTTCCTCCTCTTCGCGAACTCGCTTGGCTTCCTCGGCAGCTTCGCGCTCGATGCGTTCCTTGCGGAGTCTCTCCTTTTCTTCTCGCTGCTTGCGAGCTTCCTCCTCTTTCCTCTTCGTTTCTTCCTCCTCACGTCGCTTCTTCTTCTCCTCCTCCTCGCGGAGCCTTCGTTCTTCTTCTTCACGCTCGCGTTGCTTCTTCTCTTCGGCCTCGCGCCGCAGCCGTTCTTCTTCCTCCTGGCGTTTCTTTTCGAGTTCGGCCTTGCGCTTACGTTCCTGCTCCTCACGATGTCTTGCTGCTTCCTCCTCCTTCAGGCGTTTCTCCTCAGCCTCGCGCTCACGCTGTTTCTGCTCAGCTTCACGTTTCTTCTGCTCAGCCTCTCGCTTCTTCTCTTCAGCCTCGCGTTCGCGTTGACGAGCCTCCTCTTTTTTGCGGGTTTCTTCGGCCTCAGCTTCACGGCGCTTTCGTTCTTCTTGACGCTTCTCTTCTCTCCTACGCTCCTTCTCTTCGAGACGCCGCTTCTCGTCGTCGCGCTCCTTCTTGATTCGTGGTTCCGCTTCCACTGTGTCCTTTACATCCGACGCATCTGGCATCTCGATGTCAAAATCCTCAGATTTAACGTGGATACTAGACTTATCACTATTGCTCGATTTGCCGGATTCTCGTCTGTGGCCATCGACATCTGCCTTAGCCTTAGTCGGTCTCCGATCGCTGTCGTCGTAGTCTCTCAAGCTGGACTTGGATCGAGGCGGGCCATCACGAGGTGCCCTGTGAGGATCATCGGGTGAAGCGGTCGATTTTGGTCGTCGCTCCTTACCCTCAACATCAAGCCGCCGACGCTTCACGGGTGCCTCGCCTTCATCCTTGTCTCCCGTGCTTGAGTGTGGTGGCGTGACACTAGAACGATGTCGTTTGGACGAATTATCGCCAGACACCGATAGCCGATCTCGAGACTCGTCCCTCTTGAGAGCCTTCGTGCGATCGTGGTACTTCTCCGACAGCGGCTCGCCCTTTGGCTTCTCGGGATGATCGTCAAGTTTTGTTGGGTCGCGGGGGCTCGAAGGATCTTTCAATGATGATGTGGTGGACACCATGCTCGCTCGTCGGTTCTTTTCTCTCTCGCCACGAAGCTCCCCCTTGGATACGAGCTTACGGCGCGGCTTAGCAGCCTCTCCTTCAGAGGACATCGCGGCGACGTCGGACTCGGCTCGTTTCGCTGCTTTAGCAGCCTGCTTCTGCGAAAGTGCGGGTGAAGCCTCTCGGTCTGAAACAGCGATTGTAGGTACTCGGTCTTCTTTACGCGGCCGGCCAGGACCACGCTTCGGTGAGATCTGATCTTCGTGAAATGAATCCGCCCTACGTTTCTCCTTTGGACTTGTGATGGTTCGTCCAGAAGAAAGTTTCTTCCTCTTCTCCGGGTCACGGGACGGGCTAGAGAGGTTACGTTTGTGCGCACGCGCTTCATCCTTGAGTTCATTCCGACCTTGGCGCTTTGTCTCGCGGTCCTGCTCTCTGTCGCGGTCCTTTTCGCGTTCTTTTTCACGCTCGCGTCTGCCAGGAGATTTTGTCTTTGAAATGTCGCGGTGTGACTTTCTATAGGCATCGTAAGACTCCTTGAGCATGTGCTCCTCGTCTTTCCAGTTCGTTCCCTGTCGACGGCGGGCAATTTCGTGATAGGTCTCGCCTTTGAATCGGCGAGTCGGATCAAAATTCCCCTGGTCCAAGAGTAGTCTGACGACCTTAATATTTTCCTGGCCGATCGCCGCCAACATTGGGGTGGCGAATTCGGGTGGCATGCTCGAAACAGGTGCAGGGTCTGGGTTCGCTCCACCAAGAGCCAGGAGCAGTTGAATCACCACTTCATGGCCTCCACGAGCAGCAGCAACCATGGCTTCTGAGTCATCGCAACCGTCCTTGACTTGCAAAATCCGCGTAACAGTCTCTTCGTCGCCCTTTCCTGCAGCTTGCCGTAACGTCTTGTCGTCAAGTGACATGTACAAGAGATGATTGCTTGTCTTGTTTGCCCTGACGGTGCCGGCTCGCCGACCGCTGGCGTTGGACGCAGATGGTGCAGGTGACCGACGAGGGCTGTCTGGGCCATGAGATGATCTACTGTCGAATTGGTCGGTAGGGTGGTGATCTTCGGATGTACGTCTGCGTTCTCCTTGTCGTGACTTGGCTTCGTTCAATGCGGCTCGGAAATCGTCTGCATTCTCCAAATCGTCGCTGACTCGGTCCAAGGGTTCCTCTCCGCTCAGGTTGGCTTTCCTCGGATTTACCCCCGCATTCAGCAACAGCTTGACCACTCCCAAGTGACCGTTGTCGACAGCGTCTAACAATGGTGTGTCTTTGTCATAGTTGACACAATCCAAATTGCAGCCCGCGTCGATGAGGAGCTTGACGATGTCCTCGTATCCGTTAATCGCAGCAATCTGAAGTGGCGTGTTGCCAGCATAGTCGGCCACATTGAGATCCTCGGGTCGCTCTCCCAGTCTTTGCTTGGCCAGGTCGTACTCGCCTCGGGCACATGCCCTAGCGAGGAAGGTTTGGCCGTGGGCGTCGAGGTGTTTCTTGTGTGGTGCAATCTTGGCCGGCGACATATTTGACTCGGCGGTGGCGGGGGTGGAGAGGTTTCGCAGCTTGGAGCTCCGAGGATGAGGGCTACCACTGGCAGAGGATTCATCCGAGTGATAGTCTGTAGATTGCAGCGGCGGAGGCAGACGTTTCTTCTTGTAACTCAGGCCATTAGACGAGTTTGCGGGAAGTTGGGTCGAGACGCTCCGCCTGTGGGCACGTGGGTGGTGTGGAGAGACGGATCTGGTGCGTGATCCTGAGTGGCCGTCGTGTTCTCTCCTAGACGAAGACGAAGACTTTGGTTCCTTGGGTAGGCGAGCTCGAGCTTCTATGGTGTTGTGATCCGAGATTCGTTGCCGTCGGACCTTTCGATTTTCCGCCTCATCATCCGAGTCTGCCCTGGAAGCTTTGCGTTTGTGGGGAATTCTGTCGATGGACTTTGCCCGGTCTTTCAGGGACAGCTTGGGGGATTTCCTACGGTCAGCGCCCGTATCGGAATCGGAGTGCCCACCAGATCGACGCCTGTGGTGGGGAGGGGATGCAGGAGCCGAGCTGAGGCCGCTGGAACCATCTTTGCTCCTGGCCGATTGATCGTGAAGGCGCTTCTTCTTCAGCCCGAGAGAGGAAGCCGTTTCGGACAGACGGGCAGGATTGGCCGTCTTTTCCTTGTCGCCATCTCTGCTGGCACTCGCATCACGATTTTTCCGGGGAACCAGGGGAACGGGGAGAACCGGGGGTTCCCCATCGCTGCGGTCCTCGTGCTTTACCTTCCTCGCCTTGGAGGGCGAATGGCCATCCTTGCCAGGCAGTACGATGGTCTCGGCATCAGAATCTCGGTCGACAGGAGCATCGTCGGCTACGGGAGGGGCGCGAGATACGATTACGCTAGGCTTGACGTCTTTGGATAGATGAGGCGGGGATTTGATGGAATCGTCCACGTTTTTGGTCGGTTTGCTGTTGGACTCGTGAGACTCGTCAGGTTGGTGATTGCCCGGTCGCTTCTCCGCCGCAGCGACGGGCTTCGACTTGTCGGACCCGGCAGCATTCTGCGCATCCATATCATTTATCTAGAGGTCGAAAAACTGGCCAGCACCATCCTGGCCAAAGGTCGGCCGCGAGAAAGAGGGTTGGAGAGGCGGATTGAATTGAAGACGGCCGGTAGACTAATTCTCAGTCGCTCGAGGTGACCCCCCTAAGAGAAAGTGGCCAGGTCAGTCACGGGGGGGTGCGCGCGCGAGAAAGGCGTTGGGCGTGGGTGTCGGACGGGGAGGAAAATGCTGCGTATTGGATATCGGATCACGTCGAGTATGAAAGGAACAGAAAAACGACTAAGGAAGCGCCTGGCCGGGACAGAATAATGCGGGCGAGATGGACGGAGGCGGGCGTTGGTAGAGAATGCGGGAAAAGAGACTGTTGGTGACGCTTGATGCTTCGATTTGGCTGAAAGGTGGAAATGGGGCCGCGAGCGAGTCTTCAGAGTCAAAAAGTCTGATCGCCACCTCTTTGATTGGGCCCGACCAGGGGGGAGGGGACTTGCTCGAGAATACGGGACACGGAACAGCCACAACCAGCAAAGGAGACAGGAGACAGGAGACCTGACAGAGAAAGCAGCAGTAGCAGCCGGGCATCAGACAAGCAGGCACACAGCACACAGCACGCAGCCCTGAGGCAAGCAGCAGGCTATGGAAAGTGAGGTGTGCAGCAGGCACCTGGTGGTAGCGGCACTGGCAGTGGCAGCCTGACGACTGAGGTGGCCACATCAGCCAGCAGTCGGCACTAGGTACGTACTGGGGTCGAATTCGACAAGCGGTACTTGGGATCCCACCGGAGTTTTGCAGTATCTACAAGTACCCGGCGTCGACGAAAAGTACGCTGCCTCCTTGGGTGGCAGACCAAACGACCTAGGATTCAACCTGGACGTTAGCCCCGGCACCCACCTTGCTTCAGAAAGATAGGGTGAGATTGAGATAGCAACGCCGTCATGTTTCTCTTCGCAAGCTGCATCGCTGGCTGCACGTTGTCGCTAGGCCACCTGACCCTGGACACACCAACCTGCGGAAATCTCCCATGGTTCCAATGCAAAACGAGTAGCTCGTCCATCCAAGGCTTTTTTCTGTGGTTTGCTAGTCCAAAAACTCGTCTTTCTCCTGCTGGTGGAAAACCTCGAATCTGCCCGGTGCGTGTTCTTGGTGCGACTCGAATGGTACGTATCGAAGCCTCCAAATTCCCCATGCCCCACCTCGGCCAATCCTAGCCCCCTCCAGAGTCGCAGCAGGCTCCTCTTCCCCCTCCCCGGCCGTCGCATCTTGAATTCAAATGGCGAATCATGAGCGACATTCAAAACGGAGAGCTCATGAAGCGGGACCAGACCAGCCAATCACCTACTGTGGCGGATAGCACCACTACCACTGGGAACGGATACCTTACCGTCAGTCACACGCTGCCTGTGACTAATCGACCTGCCGTTTCCCGATTGGACCTAGTGTACTCTAAGCAGGTGTCCGTTCTCGCCTTTTCTTGTTATTAGTGCAATACCTCCCATCCTTGACTGCTTGAGGCAACTGGCGACCTCAGGTTTGGCGTGTCTGACAACCACAAGCAGGCGCGCTCAAGTCTTAGGTCGGAGACTGGAGTTGGACGTCTTCTTGCCCTGTCGCTTCCATCCATCCATGATCCAGCTCCCGTCCTTGCTTCTCCACCCAACCTTGCCGTCCTCGTCGCTTCCGTCGTTGCCTGGATCCTCCCAGCTGGACGCAGAACCGTTTGACTCTTGGCCTCTTATGCCGCTTTGCAGCCGGAGCTTGGATCTTACGTCGATGACCTTTGCGCACCTCGTGCCAACTTGCGACAAGCTTCGGCGACCTAGGTTTCCCGACCCCTTCAACCAACATCACGTCACTTCGTTTGGGATCCCCATCCATAAAGTTGGGCGCAGCCCCAGATCACACCACCTGTGTCCCGACTATCAAACGTCTGCGACCACACAGCTGCGAGGCGAAGCCAGCAATATGCCTTTGGCAGCCGTGAACTTACCTGCCTCCCTCGACGACGTCAGAGTCAAGAAGCTTCCGCCGTCCTCTTACTACATTGCGGACTTCATATCAGAGGAGGAGGAACGCTTAATCTTACAAAAGGTACGGAAACTTATTTCGACGACGTCCGTCGAGCCAACAGCTGTGGCTGACTTGCCCTTGAAACCAACAGATAGCTGAGGCGCCGAAACCCCGCTGGAAGCAACTGACTCATCGACGTCTCCAAACATGGCCGTCCGATCTCGTCAACAACAAGCTGATCGATGCTCCCTTGCCACAGTGGTTGCAAGAGCCTGTGATCTCGCGAATTCTTTCCTTACCTCTTGCCGCCGATTCTGATTCGTCCAATCTCTTCGCTAGCAGTCCTCACAAACGACCGAACCACGTGCTGATAAACGAGTATCCTTCGGGAGTAGGAATCATGCCGCATAAGTTGAGTACATGGTAGGTGTTCACGTGAAGAGCTTTGAATCTCATGCTGGCTATAGGACGGGGCTGCCTATCATCCAGTTGTGTGTACTGTCAGTCTTGGAGCAAGTCTGTGTCTGAACCTATACCAAACCAAGGAGGATGGTGCCATGGACCCAGAGCCTGTGGGACGCATTCTTCAGGAGCCCAGGAGTCTTCTTATCACCACCGACGACCTCTATACCGATTACCTCCACGGCATAGCCGATGTCGAGGAGGACGTTGAGCTATCTGCCGAGACGATCGTGAATTGGGACCTTTTGCGTTCGCAGGATGACTTTTCTGCTGGCCGAAGCGCACGCGCGACCAGGACGAGTCTGACATACCGGGACGTCATGCAGGTGTCGAAACTCGGGGCCAAGTTTGGCTTGTTTGGAAAGAAGTGATATTCGAGGCGCAAGTGTGTCTAAAAGACAAAGGGTATCATCCTCCATTTACTGGCGACCTTCTCAGCACCAAACTTCTGCGCGTACCACTGCTTGGTCCCATCTGCCGTTGTGCCTAAATTGGCGACAATGAACCACAAAGCACCCGTGAGGGTGCGGTTCACCATGTAGCCCTTTGGCGCGGCTATCATGGCAAGGCCCAAATAGATCAGGCATTCGCAAGTGTAATGAGGGCAGATGAGATACCGGAAAAGGCCCTCCTCCGGCAATGAATACTTCTTGAGGCTGGCCAAGTGTTTGTGGCATTTATGCTGATTAGACCATCCGTAGAGGTACGCGACGGTCCCAGCGGCGACCCCAGGTGACAGAAGGCCTTCCAAGTTTGGCCTTGATTCTTGCCTCAAGGCGGCTGGGAAAGGTGAGTGTGTATCTGAAAGTGGAAAATGACGGTCCTCACCTGAGCCGTCAACCCAGACGGATACACTCATGCAGAAATAGAAACCCAAACCAAGCAGCCAATGAACGAACCACATCCTAGAAGACCCCGGTCTCATCACAAAGAGACACTCGTACAATCTCCTCGTGCCTTGCAGCGCCATCAATGTCCAGACGAGCACTGTCTGCTCGAAGCTCACAACCGGGCCGCCCGAAGCCGCCTGCTGGCCAGAGATGATGGCCATGACTGAACCGCTTTGAAAATACTGCCATGCCCAGAAAGCCGAACCTGCAACGGACGCGACGTAGAAGTGCATGAACCACGCGTGTGGGATTTGACCAAAGGAAGTCACAGCTTTGGCGGCTTGCGTGAAGAAGTCCAATCTATTGGGACCAGTGGGCTCCTTGGTCCGGTCGTCGGCGTCGGTGGTAGTAGCCGGCGAGCGGGCGCCGTAGTCGAGAAGAAGACGCTGGGTCGTCTTTGGCACTACCTGGATAGCCAACACTACTGCTGTTGAGAGCCCGAAGAATATCTGGCACCAATGGGCCGGCGGCAAGGTTGAGAGAGCATCCATCATCGTCGTCGGTGTAAGGGAGGCCATGGCCGTGGCCGGTATATGATGAGCGGTTGTTGTAAGCTGTGGTTGAGGTTAGAGCAGGGGTTACTTGTTGTACAGTGTTACGGGATTGTTTGATACGGTCCAGTATGACGAGCCGGATCAATCGGATCAACTCCCAGCCGCTCCCGATGACATATGCGGGCGTATAGCAGCGGCTCAACCCTCGAGACTCAAAGTGCCTCGGGAAACTTATTCGAGGGCGCAATTCACAGGGTCACATCCAAGAACAACCCCTATTGGACTTTTCCAGAGATGCATGCCACATGCAGGCTGAGGGGGGAGATCAGCACACTGCGTCCTCCCGCCCGCTTCGCCCGGCCAAAGTGAGGCTTACAACGCATTCCCGTCTTTCTTGTTGCTTGTTAAAAAGTGCAAGGCGGCCCGTTCGAGGCGCAGTCACATCTTTTGGGGGCCGACGGCTCTGCAGGCTGCAAGCCCAGCTGCAACACCGCGGCAGGCTGTAGGCTTCTCTCCTGTCTGCCTGCCTGGAAGCTGCCTCGTTGTAACCCGGCTTCTAGCTCTCGAAGCGCGTGGATGTGGCTTGCCGTGTTGACTGGTTGGAATCGGGAAATGTTTGTTTTTGAATCGGGAAATATAGTATCTGGTAACTACTGAGGTGGTCTCCGGTGACACTGATTCTCAACCCGTCTCTTCGCCTTCAAGGCATCGGGCTCCAAGCTTTCTTTTTCTTGGATAGTCGGGTAAGAAGGATTAGATGTTTGATGGGGGAAAGTGGAAGTATGATTTGTACAGGGCATGCGTAAGTTCCATTCCATAGTGTGCATGCGTGATCGCTGTGAAGAAGGTCGGCGATAGCGTGATCATGGCTTACATCTGATGTGGGTGGGCGTTGGTGCTGGTCCGCCTGGTTCGCCTGGTGTGGCTGGCGCTGATTGTATGAATCAAGTGGGAAGCGTGGTTCGCCCGCCTCCTTGGAATTTGCGTATATAAGGGGTTTCCCGCTCCCCAGAAATCCAGTCCATCCCCCATCTTCTCATCACGAAGCATCGAATCACAATTGTCCCGTCCTTCTCCTCTTTGGTGTTGGTACCATTCACTTTGATACTTGGCCCATCTGCGCACATCTCAAGACTGCATCTAGCCATTGCGTTTCGCGACCTACACCGTGACGGCAAACGATATTTCCCAGTCCGGGCACGCTTCTAGTCTCTGCCGCATCTCTACCCGGTCTCTCATCTTCCGTGTGAAGCTCGTAGGGTATTGCTCTCTGCTCACGAGGCTACCGTATCGTGACCAGCATGATAAGGTGGCAATCGCCCTTTGATACGTGATCTTACCTGTTATTGTGCTTTAGCGAGCTCCTCCCGAATAGATAAGGAATGTAGCCAGTTGATCTACTGCAGTATACAGGTAGTGGGTCTCATTACTACTTCGAAGAGCTTTGGCTGAATGTATGATGGCCCGGACCTGGGTATGGAATAGTAGAAAAGGGGCGGGCGGGGGATTTTGGGGCTTGGGGTTTGGACGGTCATACGCAATTGACGGGGTTGGTTCGGTTGAATCGGAACTGTAATCTGGTGTAGTAAAGTAATTGGGGCAAGGAGATGATGGCCTGACTATGTAACAGTGTAACTACAGTCAAACTTACTTCGTAGACCTTGGAGAAGAGTGGCATAGAAGCTCATAATGCAGTCATTGAAGGATTTGCGGCGGCTGCGTCAATCTGAGGAGACGGCCCTCTTGTTCGTCTGTTATCACAGGACATAGGAGGTGGATAAGTTCGTCTAGTAACATGATTCATCACCGCTTCTGTTCGAATTGTACGGGGATAAAGCCAAGGCACTTACACAGACAAGTGAGTAATGAGAGGATCAGAGACCTGAAAGTCCTTGGCCAGTTCTATTAAACTCGGCCCTCGTCAGTTTCTGTTCAATCTGTCAAAACCACGTATCTGAGGAACATTCTCACGAGAGTCTTCGGGCCATCCGTAACTTTGGGTAACATGAATGATGCCTCTGCCCACAAGCACAATCTACAAAACCTCAGGCCTAGGTGACCACTCGTCTAGATGGCAAATTTCATTCGGAAAGGCGCTGCCAAATCTCTAGACAAGAAGGGTAGGAACATGTTTAGATAAGTCGAACTACTAACCTTGCTGCTACTTTCAGAATCCCCGATTTGGTTTTCTAGTAGTGCTAATGATGATGAGCCTGGGACATGGAGAGGAGGTCATTTGCATACTAACGCCTAAAGTCACGACTAAATCGGGATGAAAAACCCATCTTTCTCGCCCGTATATCAATACTCGTGAACTCCGAGATGTGAAACCCGCGATCTTTTTTGCTTATCGGCGTTTATTTATAAGCATATAGTATACTCACTTTCTATCACTAGAGATGCTGCCAACAGGAGGGAAATCAGAACACTTTTATCAACATTCTAGGCCGTGAACATTGCTAGATTTTTCTCTGCCTCGTGGAGCTCGTCCGTTTCTACTATTCGTATTCACAGAAGAAAAGCAAGGGGCGTCCTAAACTCATCTTCCTCTTCACTTTGGACCAGTTTTTGGAACCATGGTGTGAACATGAGAGTAAACTATATTGAAAAAGCAAAAGATTTTACAACTTATAACGAAAGGGCTTAGAGTCACGTCGCTCACAAAGATGCCGAGTGGGTTGGGTATATAGAAGTGATTTCTGTACACATTTGCGAGTACTTTGAAGTCGAAACCGCATTCTCAATAAGGCATTCATGATGCTTCATTGCCCAAATGAATTGATTAAATCCGTCTCGAAGTCTTGGAAACCCTCAAAGATCACCCGGAACTCCATATATGGTCTAGTCTCCCAATTCTATACTCAGCCAAACACCCACATGAGCCATCTCACAACCCCTTAAAGCACCCTCTCATCCACCCCATAACCTTCTTCAACAACCGTCTACTACCTTTATTCTCGCTCCCCCCACGAACCACCTCCACCTCGACCTTGCCACGAGTCAACCCGAGACCCCCATCCTCGAAAGCCCAAGCCCGCAAGCGTTGCAAGTCCCACGCGTCCCTCTCCCCGTCCACGACCCTCCCCAGCGCGCCATCATCAAAGGCAATGCCCCTCCAAAGCAGTACCCCCAGGACCTGAGCCCTCTTCGCCCGGCGAATGACCTCCTCGTCACCCACCACGCGTCCGACCTCGTCCCAGAAGAGTGCGCGGAGGGAGGCTGCTTCGGGATAGTACTCGAATCTCGTTGATGTCGTCGTCATCGTCGTAGTCGTAATCGTTGCCGTCGTAGTAGCAGCACTCCCACCAGCAACAAAGTCAACATCGCTACTCCCACCAACGACAACATCCTCCCCCAACACCTCCTCGAGCCCGTACATGCCCACCCCGAACGGCAGCCACTCCAGCTCGGCCCAGTCAATCAACCCAACTAGCCCGCCAGCCCTCTCCTCCCTCCCCCACCCCAGTTTCCGCCTCACCCACGCCTCGCCGCCCTCGTCCTCTGCCTCCTCGCGCGGCGGATGAACCATGATATTATCCGGCACGAGGTCCCCGTGCGTAACAACCCAAGGCAACCTCTCGATACCCCCAAGATCCCTCCTGACATCCCTCACAACGTCCCGAAACTCACAAGGCAACCCCTTTCCCATAATCTCCAACCGCCACGCCAAACTCCCTCCCACGCGCCCTCTGCCGCCCGCACCCCCGTGTCCGCGTCCGTCCCCGAAATCCTCCCGCCTCCCCCTCCACGAATCCGCAAAGACAACAGCCAGATCCGCAACAAGCCTCCTTCTCGACGCTCTCGGGTCCGTCTCCAGACCCGCAGATATCCTCCGGAAGCCCGTCAAGGATACACCGCCGACCCTGTCCAGGAGATACGCACACAACTCCCCGTCCTTCTTCCCCTTTCCGCCACGAGTTGCCGTCGTATCCAGCCCCTCTAACACACCAAGCCCCTCCACACCCGGCACGACCCCATCCCCGAGTACACCCCTAGCCACGACACACATCTCGACATCAACACCGTGCCTCCGAGGTCGAAACTGTACGAGTCTTCCGCCACCACCACTACTGCCGCCGCTCTTCCAACTCGTACCGCTCTCGCTCTGGCTCTGACTCTCGACGCTCCCCCCTCCGCCGGCCTCAACACCGCTATCCCGCCGCCGTCTCGCCGCTCCACCGGGAAGCGGCCTCAGGAGCAGCGTATAAGAGCAGTACCCCTGAAACGGCGCCCTCTCGACCTCGCACCCGGGGAACATTGCCTGCGCGAACTCGTGCGCTGCCGTGATGGCGGAGGGATGGAGTCGATTCCTCGCCAGGAACGCCGCGACTTTGTCGTCGTCGTCTCTGGTCTCGGTGTCCTTGGTCTCGATGTCTTTGCCGTCGGTGGTACCTTGTCCATCCGCGATCTGGGCCACTGACTCCGGAACCGGGTTGATCTCTGCCGCATCGCATAGAATCGACGGTATCATCGAAGTAAACCCTCCATGGCCTTGTCTCGAAGCTTTCGCGACGGCGAGATTGTCGTCATCTCTGCGGGGTCGGGTATCAATCGACATTATTAAGGTAGATTATCTCTTCTTCTTTTTATCGGGGTTTCTTTCAAGGCGGTTTCCAGATTGCCATTATACAATAAACATTACAATTAACACTCATGAGAAACCCGTGGGAAGAGTTGATGGATGGAAGCAGCGTTTATCAAATCTCTATCTCTCACCTGAGTGAAGTGAGCTGAGCTGAGTAGATAGTGCGTGTGGGGGAAAATGGGGTCCCAATCGAGTTCACATGACGGCACCATCAGCAGGTTTTCCCGCCTGCGTTTTCTCGGTCAGCGCTCGCGCATGTCGTTTTTCTGCAGCAGATGGCTTTTCGGGGAAAGGGCAGCATGAATGGGGGGGGGGGGGGATGAACAACTCCGACCACACCCTCTCCGCCCACGGGATGTGCCCGCGTGGGGTGGTGTCTTGCAGATGACTACCCGTCGTCTAGTCCGGGAATAATCATCACACTTGGTCTTGAGGTGAGCACTCCGGAACAGTCAACACTACCTCTCATAAACGAAAACGTATGGGGAACATTGGTTAAGGTCATTTTTTGAATGTTTGTATTATTACCTGACGGTAAATTGAGAAGTGAATGAAGAAAAAAAGAGAAAAAAAGAAACCCAGGGTTTCTAGAGGACAAATGAAGTCTTTTCCCTAGCCCTTTTTGATGAAAACATCCCGTGTTTATGCCCGTTTCCTTTACTCCATGCGAAGGGTATAAATCGATGCGCGAACCCTATGGCCCACGGCATGCATGCTTCTGTTTCGTCGGTGCACTCGGCTCCTCCATCTTACACGCGGCATCATCTTGTCCAGAGTGCGGTGCGTCGGCAAGGAAACTCCTTAGCGGAAAGGGGGGAAGCAGGCGGAAGCGATACCGGCTTTTTGGGACGCCAGCTTTGATTGGCTTCCGCCGGCGCCGCCCTAACCCATGCGGGTTTCCCGACGCCACGATGTGCGGCAGATCGTCCTTTCCTGTCCCGTAGCTCCGTGGCTGTTGGACGGCGTCGACCGCGGCTCCGCCGGTTGATACAACCAGAAGCCTTCCCGATACACCCCAACACCCTCACAGGCTGACACGGCTTTGCCTGCGCCCGGTTTCTATATGATATTCGGCCGTTACTGATATTCGTTACACGCGCAGTATGAAATGCGCAGCTCGCCAATCCATGTGAGCCAGTTTATTTGCGGGCTCTGCGGTCGAGCTCGACCTTGCTGTACCACGCAGCACCAATCATGGTGAGGATCATGCCGGAGCCGTTGAAGAGGTGGACTTCGACGCCAAAGGCGATAATGCCGAGGCCAACCGTCAGGCATTGCTTCAGGTTACCGCAGATGCTCATCGTCAGGGCACCGGCGACCTTGTTCGTCTGGAAAGAGGCAACGTTGAGGGCGAATGCGAGGATTCCGTTACCGAGGAGAGCGATAAGGGTGGCGAGGCTGATGTTACCCTCCACGCGCATGGTGTTGAGGTTTCCGAGCTCGCCGGCGGCGATGGCGCAGGCCAAAGATTGCATAGCCGCAAAGGGCGACATGCGCAGCAGGACCTCCATAGCGGGGAGGGCCAGGGGGCCGGTCATAATGCGGTTGGTAGCGACGGTCTGTTAACATGTTCGTTAGTAACTGTAAAATGCATTGATAGTAGCACTGTAAATGGGACGAAGGTTTGCTGGCCGAGTTTCAGAGGACGCAGAGGGCGGAGATGGCGGACCCAATTGGAGTCGCCGGGACCACTCTCCGCAAACTCGACAAAGCGTTGTATTTCGGATGATGGACGGGAGATGAGCAAACCCAAAATAACGTACCTTGACCGCAGCAAGCACCACGCCCGCAAAGGTGAGCAGGAAGCCCAGGTCGGTGAAAGTGTACTCGCCAATCGTGGTCAGAGCAGCACCAATCATGATGGGAACCAGCGTCAGGTAGGTCATGTTCTCATAAGTGCGACCAAAGACAACGCGGTAGATGAGAACCGTGAACACGGGGACGGTAGTTCGGAGGACCTGGTAGAATGGCACGGAGACCATGGCACTGCGCAGTGAATTAGCATGATTGCTCGTCAAGTTATTCGGGTTCCGCCCCTTCCGGCGGCGGCGGAGGTGCGGGCGGAATGCGCACCATCATGCGGCGCAGCACAGAACAGGCCCAAAGAGGAAGGATTTTGGTTACTTACAGTGACAGGTTAGACACGGCGATGTTGGTGGTGAAAAGCAAGCTGAAGGCGAGGAGAATGAGGTTTTCGCGGCGTCCCAAATGGGACATGGTGAAGTAGCCGCATTGCAGCAAGCAGTAGCAACCCAAACTCGCGCACGTGGCGTGAAGTGAGGTGAGAAGCCACGGGAAGGGGAACTAGAATGAAAGTTAGAGGAAGCTCATCGAAAAGGGTGCTTTTTTCCCCATCATTTCATCGCTGCTCATTCGTTTTCTCAACGATATTGATGAGAATTCGGAGCTCACGCATGCAATGACAGAGGCAATGTACATACCGCTCCGAGAATCAACTTGTTGTAGAGGGTCAAAACCAAGCTGAACATGAAATAGGCGCTCAACCAGCCAAACTTGACCTGAGGTGAGATGGTGTACTCGACGGGGTTGCGGACTCTGTCGGCGTTGGCTTGTTGTTCGGTAGCTGCAGTGCTGTTGGCTTCGAGATCGTAGCTCTCTTCGATTCGCTTCTCATCGCCGTTGAGGAGGCCGTGGCCCTCCTCGCTCCGTCGAGCCTCGTTCTTGAGGTTGCTGGATTCCGCCATTGCTTCCAAAAAGGGTCCGTCGTCGGAACGGTAGGGTGTGGGAAGTGGTGGGTTTTTGGCGTTTGGGTCGTTGTTAGAAAAGAGGTTGAGCCTTTTGGGTTTTCCCCGTTTTCGTCGCAAGGTGTTGGAATCCTCTTTCGTTTATTTGTTTAGAGACCGTGTGTTCGTCCACAAGTTCCCTGTCGCTTAGGGGGGGTTTAAGTCGAGAAAGCTGACGACTGTCCTGGTTTCACGACGTAGATCGGTCCCGAGCGGGCGGGGGGATTTGGGCGGCAAACGGGCGTGCGTCAGGTAGTCGAGCTTAAAAAATATCGGACTAAAAAGCGACGAATGGAGGAACGGCTGCGGACGATGCGGACAAAGTGTAAATAAAAGAGAAAAAAGGGCCAAACGAGAGGCAGAGCGATCGAAGGAGTGTGTGGTTGACAATATGAATGAAGGGAGAAGACTTAAGAGAAAATAGGGACCTGGATAGATGGAGGGAGGTAGATGAGGTGTGAGGTGTGGTAATTGGGGGGGCGGATAGTAGAGACGGGAGGTACAAGGCACAAGGCAAGGGCGTTTGCTCAGTGGAACAGGCTGTAGATGAACCCAAGACTTCGGATCGCGGGCTTTGCGAGGCGTCAGCTAAATCCGATGCAGCAATGTATTCAGAAAGGGTCTGGGAACAGGGGGGCAGGGCAGGATTAAGGTAAGTTTTTAGAAAAGGGAACGACAGGAACCGGAAGGGTTGAAAGGACGTGTGGAGAGAAAAGGAATGGGGGAGTGAAGTGAGTGGTGAGACGGGCACACGGCAAGACAGATAGCCCAGGTGAAGGACGGACGGGAGTGAGGGTGGGAATAGGAGTGGGAAGCACGGTACGGAGACTGACTATCTCAGAGAGAGTGAACACACGGGATTGAGGACAGGCACAGGGTGGAGAGGGGAGGGAGGGATGGATCATGGCAGAGGAGACATGACCCACCGGGGTGGAAGGACAAGAAGAGGAAGCAGAGGATGCCGAGATACTCAAACGGGCATCTTTCTCGCTTCCGCGCTTGGCATCAATGACGTTTCGGCTGGCGGCATTGCTCACTGCCAGTCCTCCTTTTTTCGAGTCCCCTTTTTGTTCATTTGCCGTTACGGTGTACAAGAGAGGAGGTACGGAGTCCAGACTGCCAGACTCTCACTCGGAATACTTTCCAACAATAAACATTAGATGCATCCTCCAATGGTGAGTGAATGAGAATGACATGAGTGAGTAAATGATTGAGCGAATGAGTAAGTGGACTGAGTGAGTGAGCTGGTGATTTACAACCATCTCCCGGCCCCGGCACACGATAAATTACACACGTACCTGGGCTGGTCTGGCTAATCCAAGGGAGCTTCCTCAAACAGTAAGGGTACTTCGAGGCTCGGGGATCAGGAGAGCACATCACATCGAGACAGCAAGAAAAAAAAAAGGAAAAGGCCAGAAACAAGACTTGATCCTCCGCCACTATCCGTACGTAGAGTAGCAGTGCAGGTGCGCAGTAAGGGGTCTCTCAGATCTGTCTGGGTTTCTCCCGAGTCTATTGAATGGAAACGAAACCCGGCATCACGGCTTCTCATCTCATACACTTTAGCTTTATCGCTTTATCGCCCCCCGCCCTTATATGAGAGAGCTTACGACGTGTCTACCATCGTAAAGGGAGCGAAAGCAGGACTCAGCCACGGTCACGGGCGATACGGCATCTTCTGTCACGAGGCGATACTCAATAGTGGACAGAAGGCGTCGTGGACACGCTCACGTACGCAACGCTTTTTCTCACACTTCATACAACAGAACTCAAAAGCCTGAATGTCCAATCCGCCTATCAAACCTAGGCTTGCGCGTTTGGGGATAATTACATCGGCAAAATCTGGCCGGTTCGGCTTGCTCTAGTCTCGATGCGACCCCATCGTTCTCGAACGGCCTCTCGTAGTCGATCGCGCTGTCGCTGTCGTTTTGGTGCTAACGCTGGCGCTGGTGGTGCTGGGCCGCCGCCGGCGTCGTGTGTGTGATGTACATTGTGCGTGAAATCTGCCCGCCCGTTTGAGCTAAACGGCAGCTAGTAGCCGGGCTCTCTCACCAGACTCCAGTGCAGTGTCCTACCTACCGGCCGGCTCACCGTGACGCCGCTTCGTTTTACAGCGTGCTGGCGGCTGCTCTACATAAAGTAGAGCGGATGCCGCCGTGTTTCCCATTCGGGATCCTCTGCTCTCACGGGTTGATTACCTATACAATGGGATGAGTGCGCTCTCACTCACTTTGGATGAGGTGGCGGTGGTGGTTTAGATGGGGGCGACAGGGCTTCGGGGTGCAGTTCTCCATCATCGATCAGTGGCTGCCAGGTCATCATCGTCATCTATCCTCATTTCTAGTCTGGAGACTGGCGGGGGTGGTTGGAGGGTCTCGCGGGTCTGGGAAAGAGTGAAAGTCACTCAACCTGTGGTAGGTACCGTACGGATAGAGCTCTGTGACTGGTGGGCGGGATGAACAAGCCCGACGGGCCAAAGATGCGGTGGGATGTACTTTCGTACAGTGCGGTGGCGGGTGGGATTTTGCGTCCGAAGTTGAGCTTTGTCTTGGGAAGAAAAGAGCGCCCCTCATAACCACCCTTGGCAGCCGCGTAAGCCTGGGGCCCTGATTCATCCTGGTGCGGCCGGACGGCAAGGGAAGGGGGAAGGGGGAACCACAAGAATCCTATGGCCAAGTACCTAGCGAAACGGGGCCAGTTAATAAAGGAGAGGAGCCAGATACAGTGTAATTGCGGGATGAGAGATCGGGGATGTGGTTCAATTGGAGGAAGGGCAGCTATTATCTCTGGCAGACCGGGGGGAGGGTAGGTACCTACTGGAGTAAGGAACTTGGGAGAACATCAACAAGAAGGGGTGGGATGGAAAAGGCAAATACCTGCCACCAGGTTGGCCAATTGCGTGGGATTACGCCCCGCCGGGGTTCGGCGGGATCAATCATGAAGAAACCTGGATAAAGTGGAATGGAAGCATTTTTTTGGAGCACACCTACCTCAGCTGGCGAGCAAGCTCGAGTTAGCTAAGGTGAGTCTGGGGGCATCAGTGATCACTGGCAAAAGCTGGATCAGTCCATCAAGCTCTAGAACACGTTTAATTGCGTTTAGGCGGCGGGTCTTGTTGATGTCTCAAAGTCTGGTTTTTATCTATTTGGGATCACTTGGAGAAATTCCACAGAATGATTGATTCCAGTTGAGCGGCCGCCGCTGCTGCTGCATGATTGGCAGTCCGCATCTTGTCGCGTTGTTATCAATTCTTGATCTAAAAAAGCCTCAGACCCTACGTAACTTACTTAGGTACTCCCGTAAAGCTACCTAAGCTACAAGGCTTGCGCATGCCCGAGCTTTCTAAACAGACTTTGGAGACTGACTCTCCAAGACTCCAGCTGTCGTCCCTTCTTCATATCAAGAAAAAAGCCAAAAACGAAAAAGCAGGCGGAAAAGTGGGGGTAAAGCGACTCCAGTGCTCTGTGTGCTCGGTACGAATACTCAAGTATACGTTCCTAAGCGCGTGGGTAAGAGAGTCATTATCACTGGCCGATCTCATTTAAATGCGGCTCTAGGCAGGGTCCAGCATCCAAGGAGGAAAATCTAGCTTGATGAGATGCGAGCGAGCGAGCCGAAAGGTTGAATACTCCGTAATGATGTAGGGGCTGTCGGAGAAGTCTGAAGAGCAGTAGTTACCGAAGGCAATCTATCTGGATACTGCGTCTTCTGTCTGCGGCTGCTCACAGGTTTCGGCCCATTGATATCATCAGTAAGTACCCTACCGTGTGTTCTGTCATGGGAGGTTTATTTGGCAGGTCTCACTCTAGGTTTAGGTAAGGGACAAGTGTTAGGCAGGGCTCCAGCAGAAAGACGTGCGCGTGGCAGCATGGCGATGCCTGTCTCATGTTTCTCTTACTCTCTTGTCTGTGGCCCTGCAGCTGCTGCACGGAGGGGGAGGAGGAAGCTGCCCAGCACATACTGTGTTCGGATCATTTGAGTTGGCTGATCTGCTGGGCGCAATTTGATTTGCTGCAGTGTGCTGACAAGAAAGAGAAGCCGATGAATCCGAAGTCTGGCGATGCCCAGCCTTTGTTCCTTCTTATTTTGGGTTTGGTTCCCTCCCTTGGCTTTTTTAGGGGAGGGAGGAGCGGAACGGTGGAAGCTCGGTGGAGAGGGTGATGGTTGATGACAGCAAATAAGGGACGGCTACAGAGCCAAGCCGCGCGGTGCTGCAAGCAAACCAAAGGAAAACCGAGCGGGAAGCAGCCTTGACACTTCAAAGACATTGGATGCGACTGGCTGAGGAGAGATGCAGGGCGGGAAATGAGGACCAAGAAGCAAAGCTCAGTAGCAGGTCGTAGGTACACAACTGCGTATGGTCGAGCCAAGCATGGCACCAGCACCAGCTCCAGCACAAGCAGCACGTCGAACCAAGACACTGGGGCTCATGACAGCAATTGCAGCAGAGAACACAGGATTGTGGCTGCGCCGTGGGATTGGAAAAGGGGAACGGACGGGATGCGGTGGAGACAGTGTGACCTCAGGATGGCGGCGGGAACACTTCCAGTTCGATGTAAAAAAGTACGTATCATGGGCCATTATGTCATCTTTCTATTTTCTTCGTTGTGAGGCCACTGACGGAAGGTGCAACTGCGCAGAATCGCAGATTAACATGGCCCCGCTTACCTCAGCACGCAATTCGCATCTTATCTCTTTCCCATTGGAAACCCACAGTTTCGCTTCTTGCGCCAGGTAGATTCACACAATGAAACCATCGTGGAGATACAAATGCCGCTCGCAATTTACAGCCTCTATTTCAGATCATCAACGTCCAGCCAGGACAGAGTAGGTATCCATCCGCGATGCGGCGCACAACGTGCAATGTATAGACCCAGAGAGAAATAAGAGCATAACACGTAAGGTACCGACAATACCTGTTTACGATAGGTACTCCAAGACCCCAAGACTCTCCAAGCACTAAGGGAGCACAACGGACGAATCGACGAGGACGGTGGCGTCTGCAACGGTCGGTAGCCCATCTCAGACAACATGGAAATTCAGCCACTCTGCCGCGGCCTTTCTTGGCGGGAGCGGTGTTACACACTTAGTTACCGTGCTAAAACTGGTCAACTGGCAACGGCTCTTCCGGGACAGCCACAATTGACGGCGGGAGTTACTGTGTAGTGGACAGTGCGCCCTCCCTTTCGCGGCTTGCCCCAAATGCTCAACTCCAGCTCCATGAAAAAGTCGCGAGTCTTTCTGGCAATGGAACATGTTGCTTGCTCCCTGTCGACTGCCGTGCGTAAGGCAAGCGGCGATGCAAGGTAGGAGAATAAAGCAATGCGCCAAGCCAAAGGCCACCAGGGACGAGGGTTGTCTGTCACTCTGTCTGAGTCTGACTCTAACGAAGAGCAGTACGGGGTATTTCCGTGTACGACTTTGGAAAACTTCTGTGCGTATTTGCAGGTAGCACAAACAGCTGCAGACTGCTGAGCTAAGGCAGGCAGTCAGTCAATCAGTCAATCAAGTCCCGCCATGCAGGCTGCAGACAAGACAAGAGGCAGCACGGCTAAGGTCTCAACCGTCATCGATGCGGCACCGATGCGGCGATACCAAGCATCCAAGCCGGACGACACGGCAAGTCTGATATCTTGGGTCATCACCCACCTCACCCACCGAACCACCAACATCAGACCGTCACCGTCAGCCCGGCCCTGAGCTAGCCAATGCCATCCGGCCCTTGTCAGCGCCCCCCCTCCGTGCCTCCCCATGGCTTGATATTCCGATGGTCCCAAGATCCTTGGGTGCCCACGACTGGACCCAGTAGGCTATTTCCTAACACGCGTACTGGCGTACCGACGTACACAGAACAATGACAAGCCTAGCCCATGCCATGCGACACCGCGACGTCCACCGCTAAAGTGTGTGTGAGTGTCTGGGCGGGACGGCAACTTTGAGACGTCTGTGTGCGTGTCCCTCTCCTCGCATCGCTCAGGACGCCAGGGACTCCCTCTGTCTATCAACTCTTCAAAACATGCGTGCCATGAGAAAGGAGATTGATGTGCCGGTCAAACTGATTAACATGTACCCGACCTGATGAACCAAATAGCACCTGGAACTTCCATGGGGAGTGTTGGAAGGCGGACGGTGAGATGACCTCTCCCTCTCCGCCAGTCCCGGCGTCCCGCCCGCTACGCCACGCTGGACATTGCCTCCCCCTAATTGCTATCCGAGGAAGGTACCTCGCATTAGTGCCTTTCCTCGCACCTGCACCGCACCTTCACCAGCGCCTCCCTGCTCCTTCCGCACCTCACATGGGGCTGCGTGGCTGCTTCCCGCTCCGACGCCCTCCTCTCTTAGTGCCGCCCACCCATCCCTTCCTTCCTGCCATGCGCTGAACAAGAGGTACATCGTAAGGTAATCATTTGGGACACCGCCCGCACCGCCGCATCAGCAGCAGCAGCAGCAGCAGCAGCAACAATAACAATCCAATATCCGTACCTGCCCTGACTACCGTTACCTTATGGATACTTTGATACCTGATGTGCAGTGGTCATCAACCACGAAAAAGTACCTTGGTCTTAGCTCAATCTTGGCTCCTCCGAGTCGTCGTCACTCCGGGTCTGTCCTTCCTTCTTCCCTAATCCTCCCTTTTATTCCGTCCTGTATTATTACAATTCTTCTTTTTTGACCTCTTCCTTCCCCCTCGAGACTCCCGCTCGTCCAATCCAATCTTGGGCGAATCATCCCGTGCAGCTGGTCCACTTAGCCAGACCCTGCTTCCAATTTCCTTTCCGCCGCTGCTTCCCCGGACTCGAAAGGACTATCGACGTTCTCGGAGTCTAGTCCACTACCCGTACCTGTCCCAAGGATCCAGAGGTACCTGAACTGGAATTCACCAACTCAAACTTCAGTGCGGCTCAAGTCACAGCCGTATCGGTCGACAGCCTGTGTCTCTCTCCATCTCTCTTCCGCGTTGACACATGACCACCCACACGCCTGTCTTTACCAAGAAGAGCAGCACACCAAGACAAAAGTAGACGATACCGAGACCAAGGGGTTCGACCACGAGGGTGGGAAGAAAAGAGCATTCTCAGCGGCAACGGGCGTCTCCTGTTCCTCTGGTCTGACAGCTCTTGGAAATACTGACTTTGGCACTTGGCCTTGGCAATTCCTGGCCCTCAACCTGAACCCAGGGGAAAAAAACTCCCCGCCCATCTCCATCCGCCATCTGTCACCTAGCATTTCTTGCCACAGTCAACTTCTTCCACTCATTTCTTTCCCTTCTCTTTCTTTTACCCTCCAACCCCTTAACAACGACGACGATCCTGGAGTCCTGGGAGTGTGCATATTCTTCTCTACTTTCCTTCCTTACTCTCGTTACTGCCGGCCCTTAAGTGTTCATTTGGTTCGTTACCGTCTTTCTAATACCCCAAACTGCACTTTCGACCTCTTCTCTCCCTCGTGGATATCGCTTCATCGCCGCCGTCGCAAACCAACATTGCACTGCACTGCACTGCACTAGCCCGCTTGCCCACTTGTCAACCCCCCAAAATCGCCCAACCTGGATCTCAAGCCAATCCGGCAGCTAAATGAAACCCGAGTCGCACCCATGTTGATGGCTCTGAAAGGCCGCAGACTCGTTCTGCTGGCCGCCTTCGTCATCGTTTCGGCGCTTCTCATCTTCTCACAGTCCCTCTACCCGGAGAACCTGAGCTGGGTAAGCTTCTTTCCTTCTTTTTTGTTTCCTGTCGTTACTTCAAACTTCTTGTCGTTTTTTGATCGCCGTCGCAAGTCCCCCGTCTACTGGGGCAGTTTTTCCCCCAGGAGAGGAAGAATGCGCACCCACGTGCCGACTTGAGCTGAAACTTCGACCGAACTCCTCAATGCGGGACTCTGAGACACCCGTTGTAGCTGTTTGCGCTTGACATTTGTACTGACAATAGCCTCCTCCCACAGTCCGATATCTCAGCTTCTCTCCCCACCGGAAGTAAATCCTCCGCGCCATCCACCAAGGGGGCCAAACCCGCCCGCGCAGGTACCGGCCGTTTCCATTTCCTGATCGCCGCCAGCGCCCCGAACTTGCAGTTCTGCCGCGCCCTCGTTTCGTCTACCGCCAACCGCTTCGGCGCGCCAGTCATTGCAGGATGGAACGGCACCGGCGAAAACGATGCTGCCCTGTCCCACTTGGCCAAGATCCGCGTCGTCACCAAGTACCTCGAAGACTTGCCCGAATCCAGCAACGATGATCTCTTCATGATGATTGATGGCTATGACGTCCTTCTCCAGTTTGGCCCCGATGTTTTGATTGAGAGATATTTCAAGGCAGCGGCCAAGGAAGACGAGCGAATCATCCAGCAGCTGGGACCCGAGAGGGCCCAGAGTCTGGCTGGTCCGATGGGCCGACATATCTTCTTCGGCGCGGACAAGGTCTGCTGGCCCGTGGACTGGCGGCGTCCGGCTTGCTGGGCGGTCCCTCCGGTGCCCAACATGGACGGCCACGAGTTCGGCCCTCTCACGAATACTGGCGAGGATATGGCCTTCAACCACCCCCGATGGCTCAACAGCGGCACCATTATTGGTCCCATCAAGGAGGTCCGCGAGATGTTCCGAGCCACTCTAGACCTAATAAACGAAGTGTACGACCCGGAATACGAGTTCAGAGAGAGCGACCAGTTCTACATGAGCGACGTCTGGGGTTTACAGGAGCTTGAGAGAATACAGATGCAAAAGGAGGAAAATCCCGATGCCGCTGTCATGCTGCCTCCGGAAGACGGCTGGGTTCCCGAGTTGGAGCCCGCGTACAGCTACAACTTCCACATCGCCATGGACTATTGGAGTCTGATGTTCCAGACATGGGCTGGCTACGGCGAGTGGGTGAACTGGCGCAAATTTGACCGCCCCCTGTACTCGGTCGAAATCTCACAAAACTATCGCAACAGTTCCACCTTTGTGCCTTGGAGCTTGCATATGCAAGCGGACGGCATGAAATCGCTCAAGCGTATCTTCAACACAACCGAGGACGAAACGATGGGCGCGACAGTGAACGAGCTGATCCGCAAGTCCGAATTCGGCGCCAACATTGTGACCAAGCAGACGTTCCCGCTGCTGCACGTCACCGGAGAGAAGGGAGCCTTGGACGTGTTCTGGCCTCGGATGTGGTTCTTCCCCTACGGCCGCTCCCTGATCCGTTCCGCTATCAACTGGTTCCAGCAGGAGGAACATTATATGCCTGAGCTGATTGACGGCCGAGTGTGGTATCCCGCACACCCGTATCCCAAGGACATTCGGGAGAACGATGGAGGTGCCTGGTCAGACACTGCCAACGACAACGGGACCGTGTATTGGCTGGGATTCGACCAGCTGTGCGCAGAGCACCACGGTATCTTGTTTGGGGAAGATTAAGTAAGGGTTCTCTGTGAAGGCGGAAGGGAGGGTTTTCTCGCGCGTTACTTGGTTTGAGCATATTTGAGCACCTTGGGTTTACGAGGTCTGGAAAATATAGTGCAGGTTCAAAGGGAACCACCTGCACTAGATTCGCAGCATGAGAGCTGCTTGCAGTCAGTACTGGAACAAGAGTATCCGTACTACAACAAAATGAAACGGCCCGGTTTGCATGTTGCGCTGAGCATACTACGATGCAATACCCACCATGTTTTTGTGCCTGATTTTTTTATTTACATATCTTAGCGATATCTGATGTCGTGTTTGAGTACGTAAAGCATAGCGACCAGAAAGCAATAGACAGACCGCCGTCAGAACGACGGGCGGCAAAATTCAAGACATGCCAACTTTGACATTAGCTCAATGTGTTTTGATGGATTATCCGGTGACTGGACGTGTCTAGAACAACAGTCTTGGCAGTCTCGGGCTTGCTCCGACAAGGTGAAGTCAAGTTTGACTCTTCCTCTCCCTGCTTCCGCTGCCGCGCCACTGTTCGGACTTGATGTAGGGCTGGGGATTGAAAAGAACACTATTGAGCGGCAATGTTTCGCAGTAGCTGAAGGAGGGCAGGTAGTTACATGACTATCCCGGGATGATGAGATGGCGCGTTTCTAGTTTTTCGATAATTAAGGGTTTTCCGGGTCTCCTTGCAGGTAGTAGCTGAGGTTCTTTATTTATTTATTCTGGCCTTGTGTCCTTTCCTTCCGAATTTGGATGGTATTGGGGTCAATTTCTTGGCGTGATTGGTTGGAGCCTGGTGTGTTGCGGCTGATGGCGTTGGAAAGTTTCTTCGGTGGCGGCGGTGGTTCGGAGGCTTGCCAAGACGAACCGGGTCGCGGCCAATCCCACCCTTGGGGTATTTGGTCGGATTTGGTAGGTATTACCCTTTGGAGATTGAGACTTTGGCGTCCTTTGAGAATCTAGCTACCTGAGAGGTCTCGTGATGTGACGGGTTTAGGCTGCGATGCATCAAAGGGAGTGGTTAATTGTGAGCCAGGGTTTGTAGTGAGGCTGGATTTGGGATGAGACTCGACCGAGTTAAGCATGAATGTACGCAAAAGAAGGAAAGAAAGATGGGCAGCCAAAAAAAAGGAACTCTCGAGATGCAGACTTAAAAGAGAAAAAAATGAAATTGGTCCAAGTGGACCAGCTTCGACTGCCCAGAGGCGGATTCGAACCGCCGTCAACACGGATCGCTGTATAGAAGAACCACAACGTATCATCCTAACCAACTAGACGATCTGGGCGAGTTGATGAAGGCATTGGAGGGGAGAATTGCCCCAGGTAAGCATCGTGGTGGGTTACGGGTGGGTTTTGCGTGTGATTGTGGGGGCCAGTGGTGGGTAGTTGGGTGCTAGTGGATGTGTTCTACATCGTGAGAAATTCGGCGGCCTTCGTGCGGGAGATTTGGAGGTTAGGGATTTGGGAAGGGAGAGGAAAGAAGTCGGATGTGGATTGGATGAGAGACTAGGTAAGGTTCATTGCTGGAGGGGCAAGTAAGACGGGAGTCATTCGAGATGTTTGGGCTGCAGGGTACAGTCAGACGGGATACGGGTGTGGCGGAGGCTTTTTGGGAGTGGTTGATTACTGAATGTTTTGCGTGAGCACTTGCGCTGGTGCGTATTTTCGTTGATTCGGTTACTCGAAAGACGGAACGTTTTTCCTGTAGAAAACAGAGTGCTTGGTAGAGTTCTCTGGCTGATGTTGTTCAACGCTGGATGGTTCATCCCATCATGACTAGTCGGAATGCCCGCTCCCGCATTTCGTCGGCATAGTCTAATGCGGCTCCAAAGTCTGACCTTGAGGCAGGGTCTCACGACGGGTATTCGCAGTGTGCGCTATTGACGATCACGAGGTTCATGAGGGTTGGTCTAGGACAGCAGGGAGTGGTTCTCAAATCTGAGGTGAGATGCGGGACTGGGTGATCCCGATCGTAGGGCTGGGCTGGTTGGATGGATGGATGGACGGATGTTGATGGGTATGGTCTTACAACTGATGCTTGATGCAGTCATTTTTGGCGGGGTATGCACGGCGGCTTTCCCGTGAAGCTAAGGTTGTGGAAGATTGAGAGTTGCCGAATGGTGAGTGGCAGACGGGTAATGTGGTGCCTTTTAACTTTGATTCTGTCATTATTGTCGTCACTTGTTTAGTCAGTTTAACATAATGCCCATCCCATGACATATGTCTAGTCCGAATTGGTACAGCTGTATTTGTATGTCAGTAAACTACCTAGTAACAATACCAATAAAGTTCCATAACCCGGTTGACATATTTTGTTATGAAACTCCCTGGATCGAGAGCCTCAAAACGGTTGCCTTAGTACCTTTCCCAAGACATCTGCAGTCAATTGGTTCGCCTGCTCGTCGCCTCTGGTGGAAATGAACCTCCCAGTCACCTGCCCCAAGAGGCAAGAGTCCGTCGCTCTCCCCTGTGCCGTCTCGTCCTTGCCAATGCCCAGACGCCTCTCTTCAATGGCTCAGCGAGATGCAGATGTGCGGCACTGCCCGCCTGCTCATTTCCATAAGCTCTTTAGCGATTGAAGAAGCTGACCTATGGCAGGCGACTCAAATGATACTGCAAATTCCTAAAATTGTCCGTTGTGGAGGCTTTGTCATTCAATTGACGACGGATTTGTTCCTCTATTACTACCCTGAGCTCACACTCGTTCCTCTCAGCCATTCTTTGAGAGCAGGTGACTGGTAGTGTCATCGAGGCTGAGCGCCTCCACGGCAAGTGACTCCAAGACTCGTCTTTGTCGTTCAAGTTCTTGAACGGAGATGCCCAATAGATGCCTTTTCTCTTACCGCAACTCTGTGTCACCCATCACAAGAAGCCACCGAAAATTGAGTCCTCATTGATGGGAAGGCGGCCCCCGCCAAGCGAGTCCTGCCCTGTGCAACCACCCACCCCCACGATCCACCCAAATGATGACAAGAACACCACATTTGCGCTTTCCCGCTTACATTGCATAAGTACTAAATACCTTCCCAAGGGTAGGTACACTGCTCAAACACGATGTAAGCCGCAAGGCGACCAATCAAGGCGGCAAGAACCATTCAATGCCGCAAAGGTAGGTATTCGATGCTACAAACTCTTATTCTGGTGCCTGGACTGTTTCTTGCCCCGCCTCTCTTCTGCAATGCTGTGCCCCCGGGCTCTTGCTCAACAAACAGCCACAAGAGTCATCCCTCACCGCAACGCCTGCCTGGTCCTTCCCTATTACCTATTCTGTGCTCCCAATGTCAGACTTCAGCCTCGTTCTTGGCTGTTTTCCCTCCCACCCTTCTCGCGCAAGTGGGCAACTGTGGTGGATGGAAGCGAGCGATGCGAGAGAAGGGCGCGCCTGCGCGCTTCCAGGTTCCTTCCTCTTGCTCTTGTTCATGTCTCTCTCTCTGGAATGCTCGGATCTCACTCGCGAATGCCTCCCGACAGCTCCTCATAGGGTAGCCTTACGGATTCCCTAGCTCCGTTTCCTCATGCCTCTTCTGTGCCTCCCGCATGCCTTGTTCGGTACTTTGCGCTTCCCACAGTTCGCCCCCCCTGTTGTTATAAAGAAGGGAGCATCCGCTTCTGCATCCTGGGAAGGTAAAGATTGCAAGTCTCACGATATCCACTCAACGTTCAAAGAAACCCAGGCTCAACCAAAACACTCGGCAACTGATCCGGAATCCCCCCTTGACTCCCGTTTCTCCCTTCTACTCTGATTTGACGTCCATCCCTCCGTTCACCGCCTCATCTCCATCAGTTCTTCTGCTCCCATCGCCTCTCGTTACCTACACCTAGAACCTACGAGACAACGCCGTCCTCCTCCCTCTTCTTGCTGACAGGTTACTGCTCGCCATGGTCGCCCCAGCCGCTAACATGAGCTACTCTCCAAAGAGACTGATCGTGTGCTGCGACGGCACCTGGATGAATTCGTATGTCACTAAATCGATTTCCTCAGCTTGGTATCACTGATCTTGTTTGCTGACTGGAACCCCATAGAGAGAGTGCATACGTTAAGCCCACGCTCCTCAAGCCCAAGGGGTCGCTGCAGATTCCCTCAAATGTGACTCGCATCTCGAGGTGTTTTCGCCGGAGGTGCAGCGATGGTCGAATGCAAGTCATCGAGTACGAGTCTGGCGTCGGCACGGGCAGCAATACCCTCGACACCCTTACTGGCGGTGCTTTCGGCCTCGGTCTCGGAGAGGTACGTGACTCCTTTCCCATCTGATTAGGGGGGTCGAACAAGTACTAATATACACGATAGCGAGTTCGCAACATTTACAGCTTCCTGTGCGCCAACTACTGCGACGGCGACGAGATCATCCTTGTCGGCTTCTCTCGTGGCGCTTACATTGTTCGTTCCGTCGCTGGCATGATTTCCGACCTGGGACTCTTGACCCGTGAAGGTGTCGAGCACTTTTGGCCCATCTTTAAAGACATGGAGAACTGGAACAACCACCGCTACCGCGACGAGTTCCCCACGATGCCGTTCGACAACAAACCCAAGGGTGAGGGGGCGGCGGAGGTGTACAGGGCCAGGCTAGAAAAGGTAAATCCGACGTTCCCTGTGATGAAGAGTACTAGATGCTGACCTGCATAGCTCGGTATGACCCGTGTCAAACAGAATGAGGGCCAAGGGGATATCATCAAGGTCAAAGCAGTTGGTAAGGAACCCCAACCCTAGTGTAACTCCACAACTGACACCAAAAACAGCCGTCTGGGACACTGTCGGTAGCCTGGGCATCCCTCAAATTGCTTGGTTGAACAAGCTCGGGATCTACGCGTCGAACCGCGAGTTCAGATTCTGGGACACGAGCCTGTCTGACAGAGTCGAACACGCATTCCAGGCTCTGGCTCTCGACGAGACGCGCTATTCCTTCCAGCCAGCTGTCTGGGAACGTCTTAAGGCTAATAGGCATACGACTGATCTTCGACAAGTCTGGTTCCCGGGAAACCACTCAAACTGCGGTGGCGGCTGGAATGATCAGGGAATTTCTAACATCACTCTTGCCTGTAAGTCTACCTCCATGATGTATCTGGTCAATACCTAACATTGCGATCCAGGGATGATGGATCAGCTGGCATCCATTGGTGTCGAGTTTAACCATCTCGCACTCGAACGCTGCGTGCAGCAGTCCAATTCTTTTTACAGGGCCCAAATCAAGGACAAAAGCATCAAGTGGGCAATGGAGCCCGTCTACGGCCAGAACCACCCCCTCCGGCCTTGGGGTCTCGGTTCTATTCAGAAGACCTCGAACCTTCTCTACACCTTGGCCGGAAAGATCATTCGCTCGCCTGGCTTGTACAAACAAGTCAATGCTCATACGGATGCTCGAACCGCTACTTTCCTCACGGACACGAACGAGCGCATCCATTCATCGGTCCGTATCCGCCTGGCTTGCAAGGGCCTGGGGTTGAATGACCTTGGAGAGTGGGACAACCCGGCTATGAAGAAGAATTGGCGGCTTGTGTACTCGAATGCGGCTTATGAAGACCCGGTTCCGCACCATCCAGTCTGGGAACCTAAGTCGGATCAGCAAGAGTGTATGAAGCATCCTGCCGACGCCGACTCTGATGGTCGCTGGGTTTGGGAGTACTGTGGCCCTAAGGAGAATGCTCCTACTAGTCCCAGAGGGAGGACCTTGGTGGAGGAGCCCCTCGGGCCGTACGAGCGTCATCTGTTGAAGTTGACCGGTGGTGACCCCAATGTGTATCAGTATGTGGCATCAAAGGAGGGCACTAAGCGCGCTCTGGAAGCAGAGAGCAGCTAGTGCTAGGTGTTGTAGCATGGTCCGGAGCTGAGATACCCCCTTCCCTCGTAGCATAGCTTTGGAGTTTGGCTGTTTTTCTCAATATGGTACTAGATTAATAGATTTGCATTGTATTCTCTGTCTTATGCTGTCAGTGCGAGCCCTCGCTCCTGACACCACTACAGGGAAATAATGTTCCTACGAGAAATCCACGAGACTCACGTCTCTTCATTGGTCAGTAAGGTGGTCTTATAGAAACATGTCGGACCCTTATTGGATGGCGCTGCCCGCTTCCGACGCCAGCTTCCGATCAGGAAGTCTTGTTGCCTAGGTATCATGCGATGCTGACCAAGCTACGGGAAGTGACCCCTACCCACTCTCAGCCCCCAAGCGGCCGGCGATCCGAAAACGAGCACGAGGTCAAGATGCAAAAGTGGTTCATCCATGGCAAGCATGTTTCCTAATTGGGGAATTTCTTTATCATGGTCGCAGGAACGACAACGACGACTATGTTCACCGCAGCGGCTATCGTCACTCATACAGTATTGAACCCGCTACCTAGTCTGGCTCACTCATTCACTTTGGCTTTTGCCGATCAGAGGTTGTCGGGAGTTTACTTACACGGAGCTTAATAACGCTCGAAATACTGTAAAGTGCACTTGTAGAATGTTCGGCGGCGTGTATTGGAATAAGCTTATTGTTTAAATTTTGGATGGCCCCGGTGCGTCGTGTAATTGAGAAAACAAACTAATCCCTGGCATCAACTTTCGCCCTCTTCCGTTCTTGCACGATATCTCGGCAGAGTTCATCTTCATCAGGGAACTTGGCCTGACCGGCACGGCCGTGGCATGTGTCAGCCCATACTTCCGATTACGGAGACAGGGCAAAGCAAATATTCTTTCCAACAAACACTAGAAAATGCGGCGTGGTCGATGTAGTGAGGGGAGAAGACGCTAGTGAGAAGCAGACTAATACCTTACGGCGACATTATTTCATGAGGTGGGGTCGGCCGGGGCTGGAGGTCCCCACTGGGTTTGTAAGTCTACCGCGCGCGTCGGCTCTTTTATTTACCACCTTTTCTGGTGTAGACGCTGCTTGTGACGGCGATGCTTACCAACATTGAGATTTTCTTGAAGTTGTCGCGATCTGGGTCGAGCCAGAACATGCAGGTTCTGCGACGTTGAGCCTTGAAGGTGGCATAGGCTGGATGATTTGAATTATTCAGCAGAGGAGTGGTCTGAACAGAGATGCCGTGGGAGAATCAATGCTGTTGACCGGTCCGTAGTCTCGTTGTAGACTTACACGGCAAGATGTTTCCAAGCAATAGCTGTGTTGTTCAACTTTGATATATATAGCGGATGTAGCATCCCTCATAGTATGACTTCTCATCAGAGCAAAATCGTCCTCATCATCCTCAGCTTCCCTCCACGACTTGGATTATACTTACACACTTCCCCCCCTCATCATCGACTTAGACTAATCCCTCTCACCATGATGATCGGCTTAACTCTTCTGACCGCCACCAGCCTCGCCACCATAGCCGCAGCATACGACACGACGTTCGGCTTCAATGGTGCCCCCATCATCGAAACCCGCACCCTCGACGAGATCCACCAAGCCGCCCTCGCCGAGGGCGGCATCGTCACAGCCTGGCACGGAGGCGACGAGACGAACCAGCAAGACGGCCTCAAGCGGGCCTTTGAGTCCCGGTTTCCCGGCATGACGCTCAACATCACCGTCGACGTATCCAAATTCCACGACGGGAACATTGACCGCCAGCTCGCCCTCTCCGCTCTCGGCGGTGCCGGCGGCGGTGCCGGCGCGCTGTACGTCGACACGGCGATCCTGCAGACCTTGCACGATTACCCGCGCTGGGACCTCGAGGGCGCACTGCTGCACTACCAGCCCGTCAACTTTGACAAGATCCACCCCGCGTTCCGGGACGTTCGCGGCGCGTGGTACGGGGTTTCGATTTTTGCGTGGACGTTTATCTGGAATGCGGACCGGGAGGAGGATGGCCCTCAAGAGTTTGCGGATTTCTTGGAGCCGAGGTTCAAGGATCGGCTTGTTCTTACGTATCCTAACGATGATGATGCGGTGTTGTATGCGTTTGATCTGATGTGAGTATAGCTACTTCTTCCGGGCTTCCCCCCCTAAACCAAAAGCCAAGTCTTTTGTCCAGACAGATCGTAGCTGAGACTCAGCTAACACTCTCTTTCAACAGCATGCAACAGTTCGGCTACGAATGGTTCGAAAAGCTCCTCGCGCAGAACCCGCGCTGGGTCCGCGGCACCGGGACGCCCGTCACCCTCCTCACCTCGCCCAACACGACTCTCTCCGCCACCTTCACAGCAGGCATCGGCCTCGCCCCCACGGTGCCGCTGAACGTGTCCATACCCACCAATGGCACCTTTGTGACGTGGGCGCAGAGGGCGGCTATCTTCAGGGACGCGCCGCATCCGGAGGGCGCGAAGTTGCTTCACAACTTTATGCTGAGCGACGAGTATCAGTCGGCGGCGACGGCCGCGGGGTTGTGGAGTGTGAGGAAGGATGTGGCGCCGCCGGCGGGGTATCCCGGGATTATGGATGTCGAGACGACGAATCCGGTCGAGTTTGAGAGGTTTATGGGGGACCGGGTGCGTGTTGAGCGGTTGAAGCTGTTTTTTGAGGACAAGATTGGGACGGCGCAGGGTTTGAGTCCTCTTATTGATGATTTGTGAGGGCTTGAAGTGAGGTTTTGGTGTAAGCTGTGGTTTATGGACTACATGTGATGGACGGAGTTGAAAAGATGCGTGTATGGGAGTTGGCGAGAATTGGCTTTGAAACAATGGCTTCGATTCAATATTGTCATCAATTTTGTCGACGTCGGCGAGACTAAGACAGTTGCAATGTTCAAGACGTGGCAGACAATCTTGGTCAACGTAGCAGGATTTGCAGAGAATGTAGATAGCTCTATGTGTCTCCAATTTCTCACAACATGGGCTCTGCGATGTAATGTCGTGACTCTGGCACTTTTGCCGGTATTCCAAGACAGCTTTCTGTTTGTTCTCGAGTCCCACGGCCGTTGCCTCGATCGAACATTCATAGAAACAAAGTCTAGTGTCCTCCTTTTCTCGATTACTCCAAAGCCCGCGGAGTTCCGCTACCGACCCCACAGGGTACACCCTTGCCCGTACTTGCTGCAGCCCGAAATAAGCGGGACGGGTCCTCCCGCGTGGTTCATCCCGTCGAGTTTAAGTTGCATCAAAGGATCAGCTGAATCAGCGCCCACTCGTGAGAGTCCCCACGATTACGGCTCCTAGGGACGAGACTGGAAGGTGGAATTGTCTAGCAGAGTGTACCAAGACAGTCCTTACTAAGAAGCCAGTCGGAATTCCATTAGTCTAGGCATCAACTTTTGGTTCAATGTCTGTCTGCTTCATAGAATGGAGTCGATGGTTTTGTAATGGCAGGTAGCAGCCTCAAATCTCGAGAGCAGGATTTGTATATAACCTCAGCTTCGGGCGGTTGTAGTACCTACCATCCAGCCCTTAGCCATCCAGTTCAAGCAAACTTCCTATTGCCCATCATCAACTCCTCCATCTCTCACAAACGACTATCGAACAAACCTGCTCCTCCACCACTCAAAATGTACACCCCATCCATCCTCACGCTCCTCGCAGCAGCAGCGCTCCATCTGGCGACCCCCGTTTCAGCAAACTATGAATCCGGCAAAGCAGTGCAGATCAACTTCTACTCCAACTCCGGCTGCTCCGCCTACACCAGCGAGACGGCGGCGTGGTGGACCCGCTCCCCGCGCGCGGCCGAGTACGTCAACGGCGGGAGCGCGGGCGACTGCTTCTCGCTCGGTATGCCGGGCGCCAGCGGGAGTCTCAACGTCGCCGGCGCGTGGCGGGGTAACGGGGCCCAGACGAGCGGCGGGTGCGATCTGTATGACGGATACAACTGCGGTGGCGCCAAGGGGCGGATTGGGTTTAATAGCGGCTCGGGAGGCTGCGTTGCTTCCAGGAGCTCGAATGGGTTGTTGTGGAAGAGCGCTTACTGCGGTGCCGCTTAAGTGTGGTGGGAGTGGAAAGGTGGGGAGGTTTGAAGGCTGATGCGTCTTGTTTGGATCTCCTCAGATGTTGAGATGTTTGGTCGGAATACTCGATTCGTCGTGGGAGCGTAGCGAGACTTGCTCGCAAGCGTATGTTGACGGGATAGTGTGGTCTTTTGTCCACACCACGAACGCTTCATGGCAAGGATAATATTTGAAGCAAGCAAACATTTGTACTATGAAAGCCGCGTACCTTTTGGAGCCAATTCAGTCCCTACGATCAAGAACACCATACTTGTAGAGTTCAGAGTGAACACCTGCTGAGAAGACCCTTGTCTACGGGAAGACTGTCTTCTCATGGCCTCGCCGGTACGACGCCCTCTCGCCCATCTACGCCCGTCCACTCCTGAAGCGCATCAAAGAGCCTCCCCCACTTCCCACCAGACCACTCATTCCTCAACGGCTCCCACTCAGGCAAACACCCTCTCATGAATTGTAACCAGCCACCGACAATAAAGTCCGCATACACGGGGTTCTCGCGCCCGTCCATGAATGGACCTGCTCCCCCGGCAGGAAAACAGGGACCGAGCTTAGCCTCCAAGTTCGTCTCGAAATCCGCCAGCATCTTCTTCCTTACCTCCGAACCGGGTGGGATCTCGAGGTCCCCCCACTTCTTGCCTGGGAACCGGTCCAGAAACGACTGCCTGTCGGCCTCGGCGGTGCGCGGGTCGAGGGGCATGTAGAAGCCGCCGAGCGGGGCGCCGTACTGGCTGAAGACTTGGTCTACGAAAGCGTTGAAGATGCGGTGCAGAGATACCGTGCTGCTGCCGTTTTCTCCGTCCTGGAAGAGTTGGTGCTTTTTGTCGGTGAGGTAGGTTCTTTGCAGGTGCAGCGCGATGTCGAATGAGTCGCCCACCAGGATTTCCTTCTTCTCTCCCGAGCTGGAGGAAGAGGCGAGGGGGTCGCGGATGATTGGCAGGGTGGGGAAGTCAGTGCCATCGTCGTGTCTGCGGTTGGCGGGGAGTTGGAGTGAGTTGCGTGTCTCGGCGACGGCGTTGAGGGGGACCCAGGTTGTGCGGTAGGGGACTTGGGCGAAGTTGAGCGCGAAGCTGTAGAATGTTAGCCGGTTTGAAGTCTTTCTCCCCGCGAGTGAAGTGCGGGGGCGGGGGTGTTTTACGTACCGTGTCTTCCACGGGTTCGGTGCCATTGGATAGGCTTTTGGATCGAGGATGATGTCGTAGAACGTGATTGTGGGCTTGTTCGAGGCGTCCATGGCGGGCGAAGCTGAGTTGAGGTGCTGGTTGTCGGACTGTGTTAATGTGGCGTTCATGTGATTCTCAATGTCTGGAGGATACTGAGTAATTGTGATGGTCAGGAGTGAAGAGAAGTCAATGACTATTTCTACTTCTCACAATGAATTCAGATACACGCACGCACACACAACTAGCGTTTGGAATGTTCATCTGGCACGATGCAGGCAAGACACCCTGTATACGGGTGATCTGCACCTGGAAACGCATAGCCGCGATGAATCATATGCTATATAGGCCCTAGCGGCCGCGACGGCGTACCCCGATAGGTTAGCCCCGGTGCCCCGCTCGCAAGTGTAAGACAGACAAAGCCACGGCCCGCAAGGCGGGGCAGTGTATCCGGAGATCGGTTGAGCGAGCTAATGCCGTAAGACGGAGCGTATTATGGGGCTGCCGGTGCTTTGCCCCTGCGTACAATCGGATCCTTCCCGGAAGTGAGGTGATTACTGATCCCGGTCTAAGAAATACATATACGCACTGCAGCCTTTGACTCGATTCGGCAATTGGATGACTTGACACCGTGAGGTACGTTGACTGCCTCGTCGACTCGGAAGTACCGTGCACGACCGCACGCGTGTTCGTATTCTCCAGAGAGTGAAATGGCCTATTCCGCGTCGGGTTAGCAATGACATGTAATGTTCGGTGAAGGGCTCGGTGAAGGGCTCGGTGAAGGATTTAGATGTTGAAGATTGTGTAAGCAGAAACAACAGATCAGTAATCATGAGGGGAGAGCACGCCCTATTCTCAGCTCGGTGAGGCATGCGCAAATGCGCACGATACTCTTAGGTGATCAAGGGAGTTAGCTGCAATGCCAATGGGATGTCTTTTCCTTCAACTCATCTACAGCAGCCAAGCGCGGGATTGTCTCATTCCAGAATCATGGCGGTGGGATACCGGAGGAAACCAGCAGCCTGTGTCGCCTTCTCACATGTTGGCATGGGAGATGACTGCTTACCCTTCCTACAGGAGTATCGGTCGCCTTCAAACCATCATTATCGGCAATCCTCAGACTTGCTCCCGCCCTTACAAGCAATTCGGAGATATCCTCCCGGCCGTTCTGGCCTGCGACATGTAGAGCCGTCCAGCCATGAAACCCTCTCCGATCCAGCCGAGCACCGCCGCGTATCAACTCCACGATAGCTTCAACATGGCCGTACCTCGTCGCAATCATGAGCGGCGTCCACCCAAGACGGCTCTCCACGTCCGGGTTCGCGGATTCAGCCAAAAGGATCCGAATGCAATCACTCCCGCAGCCATGGCGGGCCGCCACATGCAGTGCCGCTTCGCCCTGCGCGTTAAACTCGTCGGTGGGTACGCCGAGCTTGACGACGGACTCTAGCATATCGTGTAAGCAGCTTTTTGTCAGCCGATGGATGTATGATGGTGATTCGAATGGCTTCTTTGGAGACTCTTGGAGCTCTGACGCGATGAGCTTGAGGATGTGGGGGAGGCCGAAGGCTGCGTATGTGCGGCTTACTAGGCGCAGGCTGCAGAGGTCGTGCTTGCTTAGATGCTATAGCGTGTTAGTCGTTTTGCTTTCATGGATCACTAATCTTGATAACCTTGAGTATATCGTGGAGAATCTCTGGCGGAAGACCGTCAGGTGAGAAAACGCCCATCTTGAACGGCTACCGTGAACGTCTTCCCATTGCTTTCTCGTTGATAGCTGTGCTCGTCTCATGATGGGAAATCAGTGCATATAAGTACCTGTGCTCGGTGCTGTGTGCTGATCTTCACTGTGATTGATAATCAGCAAACTCTGCACTATGGAAAGACAACCATACAGCGCTGGATCTCGAGAAAATACAGTTTGACCTAAGAGGGCAGAATAGAGTCCGGCCTGACTGGCTCTCGGCAGTTCACAGAATGGTATTGGCCGTGTTCCCGGGCTGGTCTTAGTACAATACCGTCGAATCTATAGTCAAATCCATACTTCATCAGGCTCCAGTTGACTCTAACCTCACTACAACTAAGGTAGGTCCAGTGGCCTTCAATTACGTTGGAGGCCTCTGGAGAGCTTGGAATGCAATGATTAGAAGCGAGGAACCCTTCTTACACTCCGTTGTTGTAACAGGCAACTTACCACGCAAGTGTCTCGGGGAGCACCGCCCTCGCTCCCGCCCTTGAGGGGTAGCGGCGTTCATTCTCGGCCGGCCGGTCGGCCCCACTAACACGGCACCCAACCCCTGCTTAGGTTGGAAAACGCTGACCCAACAGGCAGGTGTGCAGGGAAACTCAATTGGCCAATGAGACCAGTGGGAAGTAGCTTCGCTCCAGCTTCATTCACTCTTCCAGGCCGGCGCGTCGCTTGAGCTGCGAATTCGGGTGCACCTAACTTATCCGAATTTCTATGCTAATGAATAAAGCAACCGAGATGAGCATTTTCAAGGTCTCTTTGGGCGGAACTTTGTTTGCCTGCAGCTCTCGTGGCACTGTGCAGCCAGAAGTGCAGCCACGTCCAGCTTCCACAACTTGCAGCTGCCTCTATGAACTGCTTCACCATCATCAACCACCACATACGACCATACCCATTGGAAAACTCGGGATCCCGTCCGCTCTCCCATAGATAAGCCAATGAGGGCCGGATTAGTAGTTGGGTCGGTGACGACCAGCGAATACCTGGTGTTGTATGTT